ATGTTTTGACCCAGCACACCTTTCGTAGGGAGCTACCCCTTCCCTAGGAAAAGGACAGCTAGGTCAGATGCAGGCAAGGATTTACCCCTGCGTGAGGTGCTGGGGACTCCATCCTTGTGCCTGTGTCCTGGTTGAAGAATTGAATCTTGGTTCCCCACTTGACCTTTGATGATACTCACGCTATCCCAACAAGGATGGAGTGAACAGATGCTATGGTGTGTAGGAAAGCAATGGAAGAAATGTATGTATTTAAAAAAATAATTTTGAATAATTAAAATCTTCTCACTTTCAGAAGAGGATTTTTTGATTTCTTTCTGGTTAGCTAGATTGCAGCTATGCTAATACTGTGCAAGATGGACTCCTTATAAGCATAACCCCTGGTTGGGAATATTTTATATTTTCAGTTACTTGCCTTTTCTGGGGTTTGTTCTGGTGGGTCTTATATGATTGGTGATGTAATCAGATGGAACATAAGCTCTGGGGGTAAAAGTCTGTTGTGCTCTGTCCAGACCGTGCGGCCACCGAGTAAATGAGTGCTGAATGGAACAGGAAAGTGACAAATCCTCGGGCCTAATAGATTGCTGTGTTGTTGAACTGGTCACACATTAGAAGTGTCCCTCTCAATGCTCTTTTATCCGGTCCCTCTCAGGCAGGCCTTACCATCTTTGTTGCATCTGTTGAACAGTGTGTTGCGCTGAAGACACTTGAATATTTCAGAGATTTGCTAAATCCTGGGACTTGGCGACTGTCTGAAACTCTTCTCTAAATGCTTTTTGAAGTTAGGCAGCAAGAAACAGAGCCCTGTACGCCCCAAGGATGGGTAGTGGGTTTTGCTTTTTTGAAAGTGTGTTCTCTCCTTTTGTCCCTAAGCAGTAGTCCCTGACTGGCCCCTCAGGAGCAGATGCAGAGGTCAGAAGGAGGAAGTGGGCAGAAGCAGGCCTTGGGGGCCACAACGATAGCCCGGGGACTAATGCAGTTGCCCCTGGAAGCAATTTATTTGTATCGGCAGCCTCTCCATTTCTTACTGGTGCTTCCAGTAAGTTACTGCATTGGGTGCTCCTCCTCCTTTAACCCATTAGGTTAAAACAGGCGTCCAGGCCAGCGGGGTCTGTAATTCACAGAATGGTGATAAATCAGAAAGTGCCACTCCAGGGACTGAACTTGCTGGCTGTTATAAGAGGTCTTAACATACTTACACTTTCCTAAGTATCATGTGTTTCTCTAGTACACGTATTTTCTTGGAGTATTGGCTCTGTTGGCTGAACAACAACGAAAGATAACTTTGAAAAGATCAGGGTGCCAAATACTGTTAAATTTACCTTCTTATGAAAAGTTTAAATTTTTCTCCTAAGAACCATCTCAGAGTTAGGCTTTGTTTAGGAGCTGCTGCTTAGCATAAATGTTAATAGGTTTTTTTTTTCCTATTGTTAGTGGAACTCTAATTCTGTGTCTCCCTGTTTGTCTCTTGGAGTGATTTCATTAGATGGTTTGTAATTAACCATCTGACATCATTAATCTTGCATTCAGTTTCTGGATTTGTGCTGTCTCAAAAAGAAACGTTAACCTTTCTTTGGTTGAACCATTAAGTTTCTAATCATTTTTAAACAAGAAGCATTAAAACCATGATAAAAATAAGTAGATTAGGGATTAGTGATCTGTCAAATGAACAGGACTGTAAAGTTCATTCAGTGCACAGAAAAAAGACTCCTAACAATCCAAGTAATTTTTGAATACACACCTCTGTGTCTGCCGGTGTGGTGGTTATTTAGAGTATTGTCTGGGGAACCCCAAAACACTTTTAGGGTTCCATGAGGACAGAGTTATTGTCATATTAATATTAAGACGTTATTTGCCCTTTTTTGCCATGTTGTTTGCCGTGTTGATATTTGCACTGATGGTGCCAAAGCAGAGGCAGAAAACTGCTTGTCCTTAGCATGAATCAAGGCAGTGGCACCAGACTGTCCTGGTGGTCATCGCATTCTTCACTTCTGTGCACTCAGTTTTAAAAGAAAATGCATTGCACATGGGAACATCTTATTGTAGCAGTAAAAATTGTTTTATTAAAATCCCGACCCTCAAGGGCATCTCTTTAATACACTACATGAAGCAACGTGAAGTGCACATAAAGTACAGCAGTCTGGTTATCTCTGGGAAAAGGGCTAGTATGTAGCAGGACTGCATTCGGAGGATAGACGGAACCCCAATGAAACCTTGAACTTGATTCGTTATTGGCAGTGATGCTGGTAGTGGTGTTAGTGGGGCAGGTGTGAAATTGTTTTGTGTGTGTTATGGATAAAGCAGATGGGTAGGTGCGTGAGAAGTACTGGGAATCGGGGTTTTCACTGTCGGGGAAGGGAAGTACTAATGTGAGATTAATGCAGATGAGGAAGAATCCTGTTGTGTTGGGTTTGAATTCAAGATGTTACTGTGAGTTTAGATGTAAGGTGTTTAAAACACCCTCGCTCTGTCCAGTCAAAGCAATGAGAATTACCTATCCAGGAGCACTCCTAGGCCTCAGATCTCGATTTCTAAATGCCAGGGCTCCTTGGAGAAGTGGCTGATTTGCGATCTGGGGCAGGTGAAGTACTGGGCCAGCTTGGCAGTCCTGCTGTGTCACAGAGCATGGAGGTGCTCAAAGACTATTAAGACACAGAAGCTGGCTTGAAGGAGCTCCGAGTGGCCAAATTTGGCCAATTTGAGCATCAGAAAGAATAATGGCACAGTAATGGGTTATAACACTTTAAAAAAAACCCCACAAAAAGCCAAGAATCTACCTGTGAGAGAGAGGAGAGAAAGAAAGAGGGAGGGAGAGACCGGAAGACAATGCTGTGTTACAGAATATTGCCACCTAATGTGTGAGGATGGTTAGTATTTGAAAATCACTGATTTGCAACCTCTAAAATGGCAATTGATTCAGGAAAGAGTTATCAGTGGGTAGTGAAGCTACTGAGTGAAAAGTTAGCAGGGAGAAGGATAGTCACAGAACCTCAGGCATCACCCTCATTATTACTGGTTAAGGACAAAGGAGTAAAGGTGTTTTTGCTAAGGAGAAATCTGACAGGTCCCACGTTAACTTGGTGATCAAACAGCATCACCACTAAAAAGACAACCAGACGTGTGGGCTTTCTGAGGCAAGGATGCAGCACTGCTCATGAGGAAGTCTGGTCAAAAAGAAGCAAACTTCAATCTGACCGAGACTCTAGATTTAACTACCAAATTACAAGAAACCCAAAGGGATGGAGGAGTCCGTTGGGGGCTGCAAAAACCATAAGCCAAAAAAACCTTCCAGACTCCGGCAGACTCTACAGTCAGATAACCCAGTTTCTTCAAAAATAAGTCACGAGAAAAATTTAAACGTGAAGGAGACAGAAGAAAGGACTTGAGACCTATTGACCTGTGTATGGTCCTTATTTGGATCATAATCCAAATAAATCATGAGTTTAAAAAAACGAGTTGGTAGTAACTGTAGATACAGACTGTGTATTTGCTGGTAATACGAAGTGAAGTGATACTATGTCTACAATTGCTTTTAATTAATTTGGAAGTAGGGCAGTTGGGGAGGGATACAGATGAAACAAGATTAGCCACGGACAGACAATTGCTCAGGAGCCCACTTGTGTGTTCATGATACTGTTCTGTTCCATCTGCTTACGAATATAGTTGAAACTTTTATAATTAAATTTAAAAATACTGCTCATTAATAGGGGGTAGCTTGACATTTGTGCCTCCTGTTGTGATGCCTTGAGAAGTACATGCCATTTGTATAGAATTGTTGCAGTAATATTTAACTTGACCCTATCAAGAAAACAATCAGATGAGCTCAGAATGGATGACATTCTACAAGGCACTTGTCTTGGGCCGTCTGAAAAGTGTCAGCGTTATGAAAAGTGACAAAAAACAGTGTCATAAACAGTCAAATACAGTGCATGATCCATGCTTGAGTGGACAGAGCCCTTTTGCCCTTAAAAATTGTGAAAGACATTTTGGGTAGAGTGCAGACATTTGAATATGGACTCATAGCAAATGATATTATAGAATTAGTGTTATTTTAGCCATGATTATGGCTTCACGGTTCCGTAGGACGATGTCCTTACTCTTGGGAGGTGTGCGCTGAAGTGTTTTAGGGTGAACTGTGTAATGTCTGCAAATTAAACATGTGGATTAGGTTGCCTCATATTACGTCGCTGTTTTCCTAGGCTGGAAACATTCAGGTATCAGCAAATACCTAAGGTTCAACCTAGTATTTGTTGAAAAAAAATGGGGGAAAAAAAAAGCAAATGGGGGTTCCAGATGAAGCATATACAGATGTTCATGCTATTCTTTCAACTTTCTGTGTGTTTGAACTTTTTTGAAATAGAGAGTTGGGTGCAAAAAGGTTGTCAGCATACAAGAATGAGTTCTCAGCAGATAGGTACATATTTGTTACATTAAGTGTGCTGACAACATTCTCTCTGGGAATAATTGCCTGTAATAGCATTTAATAGAATTAACTTTAAACTGGTTCGATTGATTCAGGATATAGAAAAGAAGGAAAGCTCTATTTCTTTGTGTGAATTTTCATGTAACAAAGAACAGAAGAATAAAGAACTATAGGTGGGAATTAAAAGAGGAGCTTAGTACTATCTTAAGGAATCTTTTTGACATGGATGACATTCAGAGACACATGCACTATAGGAGAAAATTAGATCATTGATTTCTCAGACACCAATGGTCTATTTTCTTATTTTTTTTCCAAGAGATCAAAAATGGCTTTTATCTAGGCCTTGACATTCCCTGTGACAGAGAATATACCCCTAGAATTTGAGAAAGGAGTTCTGTCCTCTTCCACCCCTTCCCTTGAGGTATCAGCTGAGGTACTTTGCTCAGGGTTTTCGGGGTCTTCTGGGCAACCATGGCAAACTGATAAACTTACAGGATGGTAATTCCTACTTCTCTAGAAACTTTCCCTAACTGATCCTAATGGCCCTTGGTTTGATAATTCTTTTTTCAATCCAAAGCAGATCCCTAAAGAAGTGGCTGACATCTTTAACGCCCCCAGTGATGATGAAGAGTTTGTCGGATTCCGAGACGATGTTCCCATGGAAACCCTCTCATCAGAGGAGAGCTGTGATAGTTTTGACTCCCTGGAGTCGGGGAAGCAGGTATGGATACCTTCTCTCAAGGAAGGCGCGTCCATCTGGGATCCTGGATCTTGGTTTGGATATCCTTTTATTGGAACATGGTCTGTGATTGGTGATGTCAGTTCACTGCTGAGCATTTTATTAGTGTTATGTTATGTCATCATGTTTCAAGGAAACTAGTGAGAGTACCTTGCTCAGTTTTGCTATTCAAATCCTTTCTGTGTACGATAATTTTTTTTTCCATAAAGAAGACCTCACATGATCAAATCCATTCTCTTCTGCCCCCTCGGGGGTGAGGCTGTAGCAAGGCTCTCACGCAGCTGGCAGGGGAGGGCTGGCCCCGCGGTGATAGTGCCGGGGGCTGCATGGTTACCCTGAGACACTGCGCCTCTGTGCTCCTGCAGCCTGGCTCTGCCCACACCGCACTCTGGGAATTGCTGGGGACAGTGTTATTCTGTCTTTACTTACTTTGATCTGTGGCAAACATGAATTGCAGCCCTCTGAGAGGTAGATTGCTGGAGGTTTATGTTGGGCCTTGGCAAGAGCATGACCAGTCAGAATATCCAGTCTTCGTAGCATTTTCCTCTGAGTTCATTGTGGCCCTCAGAATTCCTCATTCCCTCTGCAACACGGCCTCTTAAAAACTGTAAATTCAACCCACCCACCTTACACTGCGCAAGGAGAGGACAGGAAGTAGTTATTATGTGAGTGAAGAGCCAGCCTGATGGCCGTGTGTGGAGTCCTCGCCTTACTGGAGGCTTCTGCAGTGTTTGACCCCGTCAGCCACCTGCTCCCACTCCCCTCCTCTCTCTCTCTCTCTTACACGTTTTGTTCTTTGTCATCCTGTCTACGGCCTGTCCCCATGTATGGATGTTCTCCAAGATTTGTCTTCAGCCCTTTACACTGTAAAGATCTCCGTGACCGGCGTGGTATCATCCATTCCCTCCTAGTTCTGTATGGCTCGGCTCTTCTCTCCAGCCCCAGATGTACTTCTGACAGCCGCTTGGATCTGTCCTGATTGTTTGAGGTAGATCTGAAACTCACCGTGTTGCCTCCCCTGGTTGTCTGGCTTCCCCATCGCTAGCTCCATCTTTGGAGTTCTCAACCCCTCCTGCTCCTTCCCCATCTCCTCAACTCCCTGGCAGGAATTGATGAATCTTCTGCCCCATTCTTACCTCCATTCCTTCCCTTCTCTTCTCTCTTCTGCTCCCATGGTTCTCACAGCCCTTGCCTCAGCTGTAGAGCTGAGTTCTGGTCACCTTCCTCCCTTACTCAGAAACCACCAGTCCCTCCGTGCGAGTGTGGTCAGGCAGTGAGGGGTGAGGGGGGGAGTAGAGCCTGTTGGGTCCACCGTGAGGAGTGTTCTGAGCAGTGCCAGATTCCAGAGAGCGAAGAGCTGTGTGAGGGCTGTAACCCAGAATGCAGGAGGCTGTGTGGACTCAGCATTTGCTTTGCACAGGCCCCTATCAAAGATGATTTTTTACACCAGGTGAAATAAGGAGAATAAAAGCTCAGGCCTTGGTTGAGGACTGTGGCTGAGTTGTTTTTCTCCATCAGAACTGGCCACCAAAGATGCTGATCTCTCCCAGGCTGACTGCTGCCCTGTGAGGCCAGCTCAAAGCACAGGCAGAGCCAGAGGACTGGCAGCTTGGAACTTGCTACTCCAAGACATGTTCTGTTCTCGTAGGGCCCCCAGCAGGGACTTGGGGAGAGGATGAAATGCACACATGGCCGGCGCAGGGCTCTGTGAGCCAGATGTTTCCTGCCCTCGGAGGGAGCAGGTTCAGGATGGGTTTCCTTGGGAGCCAACCGTGCACCATTCGTCCCTCGTAGTAAACCCTGGCCTGCTGCTCCCCCACCCCTCCCCGACCCCACACGCCCGTGGTCCATTTTAACCAGCCGAGAGAAGCCGCGTGAACTTGCACAGTGTGTGCGCCAGTGCCGACGCTGGGTCTCCCTGAAACACAATCTGAATTTCACTTCAAAGAAACTTCCCTTTTGTGTATTCTTTTTAAGCAGCTGCACCACATCTATCAACAAAGGAACAAAGTAATTCAGCTCTGAGCACACTCACTCCAATTACCCATAATAATTCATAGGAGACATTTCTAAGCTTAAAAAAATGCTGGATGTAGACATTTCTTTCTGTATCCCCCTAGAAGTTTTTCCACTCGTCTATTATATCTATTTTTCTCCAGAGATTATCTGAGCTCGAAGAAGGATATAATTAAAGTCAGGGAAAGGCAAGGCGGGGGGAGATAAAGATTCTCCAACCAAATGTGGTGTGATGAGGGGTCACTGCTATATCGGGTGTGGGAGGGAGAGACGTCAACGGCAGCTGTGAACACGGACTCCAGGCCTGGCTGCCAGCTTGGAGGAGGCTGATTCGTGGCTCTCCTTTCTGTAGGACAGTTCTTGCTTTCTCCTCTCCTTTCTTCCAAGTATGCCATTTATTTTTATTAGTTCAAAAGAAAAAGTCATTATTGGAAAGTATCTTTCTAAGAGCAGCCATATGATCTCTTTCCTTGGGCTCACTTGCTCCCTGCGGTGGTGGCTGGCCTCTCGCCTCCTGTGGGGGGACTCCTGGGGGTGGGAGGGCTGCAGCTTTTCCATCCATCCCATCCAGTGGGAGCCAGTGGGGGAGCAACTGTGTCTCCTCAGCAGTGGGCGGGGAGGGAGTGGAAGTCTCCAGCCCTTTCCTCCGGGGAAGCTTGCTGTCTGTGCATGAGAATTGCTCCCCTTGGAGGAGATGGCTTGGGATGTCTGTGAGGAGGGAGAGCCAGCACGTGGGGGTGATGGGGGGGCCTCTCCCCACGTCTTCGTCCCTGTGTGTTTGGTTCTGTGTGAGAGCAGACGTTCCTGCTGGGACGCCCTGCAGGAGAAACTGAGTTCCATCAACACTTGCGGGTCACACAAGAAGCTGATGGACGCTGTGGACGTTCTGATTTTTTTGAAATTGTTCAATTTGTGGGTCTAAATTTCTGTAAGCTTTAGAAAATATGTATAAATGTGTTTTACTGTGGTAAAATATACATAACAGAAAATTGACCATTTTAACCATTTTTACGTGCAGGTATATCCCCAGTTTCTTGCCTGTGAAACGTTAAGTGATGTTAAGTACATTCACAAGCCTTGGCGGCTATCACCAGTGTCTAGTTCCACAATGTTTGTATCGTCTGACACGGAGACTCTGTGCCCATTGCACAGGAACCCCCCCCTTGCCCCCAGCCCCGGGGAACCTCTGTGCTTCTCTCTTCCCCCTGACGTGTGTGTTTTTAATTCAGCAGGATGTGCGCTTCCATTCCAAATACTTCACAGAAGAGCTGAGAAGAATTTTTATAGAGGACACTGACTCAGAGACAGAGGATTTTGAAGGATTTACGCAGAGTGATCTGAATGTTAACAGTAACCCAGAAGTAATGGTAATAATTACCAACACGAGGGGTGTGGGCTGTAATATTTTTAGTTCTGTGTTTTTACTTGAAAGAAGTCATTTGACAGATGAAAATATTTAACTTTTTATGTGTTCAGCTTAGAAGCCAGTTAACAAAAAATGTAAAAATTGCTATTCTGAGGCGAATCCCTGGTCCACCAGTCCATCATTCTCTTAGAGAAAGCCCAGGTGTCTTCCCTGTGTGCCTTGGGAGTTGAGGGAGTATATCCCAGGTGTCCCTTATTGTCCTTATCAAAGATTGTATTTCAGACTTTCTTGAACCTCTTTTATCTGAAAAGAGGAGGGTCTATCTGGGAGTAACAAGTTCCTGACAGTCAGTTCTTGTTGGGTGCAAAGTCAAGCTCTCCAGTTTGAAGTGAATTTGGCAGAAATGTAGCTGTGGTGCAGACCTGAGCTCTGTGCTGACCTGTTACGTAGTGATGCAGACGGCCTGGGCCTGCCTGGTTCCTGCGGGCAGGGTGCCCTCAGCCCTGTGCTACCCGGACAGCTGGTGGTTGAGCTCTTCCATTTATTCCGTGTGTTTAGGCCAGTTTACTGCCCACTAGGATTTGGATCCCAGAGTAACTTTGAAGAACAGCCTTTGGATTTGAGTGGTAGAGGGCATAAAAATGTTTTCTACAAACTGAAAAATAACATACATTTATCTCTACATCAACTCACCACTTCCTCCTTCAGTATCAAGATAAAGGGCTGAGAGGCTGAGCCTCTTCATGTTCAGGAGCTCCTGAGGAGCCACTTCCGGCGTGGAATTTGTGTAGACGGGTAAAGTAGAGCTATAAGCAGTAGGGCTGCTTTGTCCCTCACCGTATCCTGGGGGGCCGTTAAGGCCCAAAAGCCCTAATGGCAGGCTGCCCTGCTTGATGGTGATTTTTGTTCTGTGAATAGCAGTGTGGAGCTGTGCCAACCTGTAGGCGCTGCCCCCCACCCCCCTAGGCTTTCTTTACCGAAGCCATTTGCATGGCAGTTCGTGTGTTCTGGCCAGCAAGTCTCCAGTTTCTTGCCAGAGCGAACACTGAGATCCTTCCAAACCCTAATGGGTATCATCTACTCTTAACTGACTTATTTATCTGCTGCTCTTTAGCTCAGTAATGTTGCGATCTTCCAAGAATTTGTTTCCAGCATAGGAAAGTATGACCCCCAATCTTTTCTTTCCCCCTCAGAGTCTGTACATTTAGGGGATGAGTTGTAAAGTGTTATGTTGACTCTGATATAACTTCTAGCTCAGGGCAGGTCCTTCCATCTGCATATTTGATTGTAAAATTCAGTGAGGAAACAAGCGTCGTTGTCTCCCCACCCACCCTCCTGCCCACCCTAGTGAGAGGTGGTGAGCCCACCGTCTTGGTTGTAGGGTATGACTGTATGTTGGTGTCTAGTGGTCGTCTAGCCAGATGTGAAACAGCCACAGCTGTGGTCTGGCCCTGGTTCTTTCCTGCAGGCTCCACTGGGGTTTACAGTTGCTCTTTTCCCTACTTCATCCCTTGGGGTAAGCTGCTCCACATCCTTGGTAAAGAGGTGGGTTAGGTGATGATTATGATAAGTGAGGAGAGCCTGTCAGGGGAGATACTTCTTCTGAGGTTCTCCAGCAGTGTCTTCTGACACAGATTCCCCTGCAGCCCATCATTTTGAATTCCCAAAGCTACTAACATGGAAAGTTCAGGATATTAAGACAGGTGGATAAATCAGTACAGTATACTCTTACTCTGCTTCATTTGCTTTGTGGATTGATAACAGACACGAAGGCTTGGGAAGTCCCTGCTTTTCCCCCTCTTCTTACACTGTATTTTTGAGTGCAGCTTTTAATTTGGTGGTCACTGAGGAAACGGAATCATTTACTGAATCCTGGGCCCCTCCTGGTGCTGTTCCTGATGATGCTCACAGCAGCCCCGCTGTCAGGAGCCCCTGATAGAGGTTCCCAGCCTAAACTTTCCAGCCTGTGGTCAAGGAAGGACGCCCAACCGATGACTTTGATCTCAATACTTAAACCCAGCTCTGCTGTTGCTAAGAGTCCCTTGCATCTGAGATGTCCCCCACCGTCACTGGGTTGTCACCCCAATGTCTTGCCTTCCCTTCTTACTGTGTTCTCATGTGTAAAAACCAAGTCATGTTTTAATGCTGGAGACCTACACCAAGTGGAGTTTGAAAATGGGGGCTGATAGTTGGTACAGCTGACTGAATGGGGGCTGTGGCCCCCAGCCATGCTGCCTGCCTGACTTCACCATGTGACTGCGGGTTACAGAGGAGGGAGGGGCTCCCCTTGAGAAAGGACCCCTCGTGCCCTAGGGATAAGGTTCCTTTTACTCCTGAGTTCTGTTCCTGCTGTGTGAGGCAAGATTTCCCCCATTTTTATCTGAAGAGACTCCTTTCTTGGACTATTTCTGTATTATTTGGCTCCCAGATATGCCAGCTTGGCTGGTCCGCTGGGGCAGGGTGGGGTGGGGAGCCCCACCTTGTCAGCGTTTTGCTTCCAGCCTGATACTTGGAATGAACACAGGGTGTGGCAGGGCCAGAGTGGACAGTAGCCCGCTCTTTGATTTTGTTCATCAGCAAACTGCTTGAGCATTTAACTGATCCATTCAGCAAGAACTATTAATAGGACACTTTCAGCTATTCGTTTTTCCCCTAAAATAGTGTGGTTTTAGGCATATGTGTTTCTGAAGGTCCTTGATAAGGCAATGCCTTTTTTTCTCTCTCTGTGTTAGCTCGTGGAGTCAGATTTGAGTGACAGCAGTGGTAAAGCATCCTTTGTGAGTGAGGACGAGGAAGATGAGGAAGAAGAAAAGGCTACACCTAGAAGAAGCAGGCCTCGGAGAAGCAGTATCGGCCTTCGAGTAGCCTTTCAATTTCCCAGCAAGAAACTGGCCAAAAATTCCGATAAGAACAATTCTCCTGAGCCGCTGTTTTCTGGCTCATGCTTACAGGACAGTAAAAAAGCAACTCTTGGAAGAAAGACAAGCTGCAGACAGGGGAAGGAGAGGGGAGATTCTGCCTCTGAGTCTGAGGACGACGGCCAGGAGAGCTCGGACGCCCTGCTGAGGAGAACCATGAACATCAAGGAGAACAAGGCCATGGTGAGGGCGCGCAGCCCAGCCCAGCTGCTGGGGCTCCGGCTTCGGGCAGGAAGTGTGCTCTGGGTGTTGTGGGGTCTTTCTCTTTTCCTGGACCCCAAGCCGTTGTCACTGATTAGCTCTGGTTTGGGGACAGAAAGAGACCCTCCAGGACCACTTTTAGCTCCCTCCACGGTGCCAGGATCTACTTATCGTTTATCAAATTGAGGTTCAAACATGCAGTGGTGTTTTAACCGAGATGAGGGCGCCTGCTCCCCGCGGAAAGCAGCCGTGTGTAACTGGATGTCATGAGGCCCACTTGGGGTTACACTGTGCAGGTCGGGCAGGCGTCCTGTAACCTAACTGCTGTGTTTCAGGACATCAGCTCAAGGGAGTGAAAGGGGTCCAGGTATTTAAAAAAAACAGAGCAGTTTTGGGTCACTTAAAAATGTTTCCACCAGAATAATTAATGGAACAAGGTGAAATCTTCGTGTTACTTGCTTTTTCTACGTGTGGCCAGTAACTGCTATTTGCTTCATAATTTTATATATACAGAAATTTAAAAAATAACTAACACTCATGTAATCACTTTTAGTATTTTAGTGTTTTTTATACTTCTTTTAAAACTTAATGATACTGCATATGCAATTTTATTACAGGGCTAATAAGTTACTTAAGAAAATATAAAGCCCACTTTAGGGTGAAATTTATCCAAAGACAGACATTTTTAGCATTATATCTGTCTGAATATTTAAAATAAGAACTATGTTCTTCATGAGTTTTTAGTGCCCCCATAAACATTTGTGTAAATATAAAGCTAAAACGAATCCTAATTTAAATTGATTGGCATGTTATTTGGTGTTCTTGGGTATTTGGGAATGTTTTCATAAATTATTTTTACTGATGAGAAGTTAACCAACTTAGTCAGGGTTTTGGAGCTCAAGATGACTGTCAGAATGATCTAGCGGAGCCTTTTCTGTTCTGAACAAGATGAAACTGGATTCAGGTGTGTGAGGTGGCGTGTTCCATGGTTACACTGCTGATTAGTGGCCCAGTCATGATTCTAACCTCACGCTCTAGGCCTCGGTCCTTCCGGGACGGTTTCCTCATGTCACATCCTTAGATACGAGGAACGGGCTTAGATTTTAACCCTATGATGATGTCAGAATCTCACTTGTGGAGATAATTATCTTTCCATGTGAGGCTAAAAATACAACTGTTGAGATCTTTTGTCAATGACTTTAGTTAAGTTTCTCGTGGCTGCAAAATGGAAGCCTTGTGATGAGGTGTTAGGTGAAGCAGCCTTTGCAGTATTTATGTAAGATCTTTTTTTGTTGTTGTTCTGAATTTCAGCTTGCTCAGTTACTGGCGGAACTGAACTCCATGCCAGATTTCTTCCCAGTCAGAACCCCGAACTCAGCTTCTGTAAGTGGAACGCCATATAATTATGTACTCCGGTACTGATTAGACACTTGATTGCCAGAAGGCTTTCATTCAAGAAAGCACCTGGTGGCGTCTGTGTGTGCTCTCGTTTGCAGAAGAAGAAGACAGTGAGGCGGGCCTTCTCGGAGGGACCGATCACACGGCGCACAAACCCGGCCCGGAGCGCACGGCCCCCCGAGAAGTTCGCCCTGGAGAACTTCACCGTCTCCGCTGCCAAGTTCGCAGAAGAGTTTTACAGTTTCAGGAGAAGGAAGACAATTAGTGGGGTATTTTCTGACCATAAGACCACTTTATGTCTAAGCAGGAGTCCTCTCATGTGAGCGTTCATCTTAGTGCACCCCAGGGCTTGTTAGAAGAGCTGAGGTTCGGACTTGGTTTGCAGCAGCTGAGCATCTGCATTTCAGCCAAGTTCCCAGCTGCTGCCAGTGCTCCTGGGCTGACTCTCGGAGGAGAACCCTAGGTCTGAGCTGTCGGCTCCGGAGAGGGTCCCTTCTCGCAGCTGAGCAGTTCAGTGGTTAAGACCCCAGCTTGATCTCCAGTGGAGGCAGTAAAGGCCTGACGATGGCTCCAAAGGGTTTTGTGGTTTTGGAAATACAGTGACTCCTAGTCTTTCTGTTTTAGGAAGGGGAGTTTTGAGAGCTTTTAGTCCAGAGCAAGAAACTCTGGACCCTTCCCCTTTGTGGGCTTGGCCGTTCAGTGTGGTTCAGTCCCCTTTCCTCGAAGATTATAGCAGGTGACCACTAATCGGTCAGGTCGCCCTGAGCTACCCAGGTATCATCCTGTGTCACGTGGCCATAGAGGAAGCCTGGCAATAGGGCACGAGTTCAGAAAATGGCTAAGCAAGTGAGTGATTTCAGGGAACTAGAAGAGAGACGTAGTTCTTAACTTTAATGGTGCTAGAGCTCTGAGGAGTTTAACACTTTCATATATATATATTTTTTAAACCACTGAAACTATGAATGCCAAGTAGTGCTGTGGCTCATTTTGCAGGGGAAATGCCAGGGGCATCGAAGACGTCACCGTGTATCTTCTTTTCGGCCAGTGGAGGATATCACTGAAGAGGACTTAGAGAATGTGGCCATAACTGTTCGAGATAAAATCTATGATAAAGTTCTGGTAAAGTATTTCTGATGAATAATTTGCACAATTGTGACTCATGCTAACAGTCCACAGCACTGGTATATGAAATGCGGAGTTGTTCTAAATTACCTTGGCTTGTACCTTGTGCCGTCTCCCCCGGGTGGGCTCTGAACTGGGACACAGCTGTAGGTACATTATCAGTATTCGTTAACACATGTTAGATGAAAGCATCTAACACGGTAGTGAGCTGCCTTCTTACAAATCAAAGAGGAACAAGACATCTTCCAGGGCACTTTCGAGCCAGCTGATGACTCTGGCAGTAAACTTGCACTTGCTAGATAGGTAAGCCAGTTCTCTCTGCTCCTGCCCCCCATCCGGCTGAGGAGGGGGAGGCAGAGACTTTGGTGGCTCGTATCTGCCTCTGTCTCTCTCTCTAATGAAGGTGGAGGAGAAGGCTAGTGTCTGTCTATATGTAATGGAGGAGGACAAGGAGGCTAGTGTGTGTGTCTGTTTGTCTGTGTGTCTGTCTATCTAATGGAGGATGAGGAGGAGGCAGCTAGTGTGTCTCCCTGTATGTATCTGTGTGTCTAATGGACGAGGAGAAGGGTAATGTGTGTGTGTGCGCTCGCGTGTGTATGTATGTATCTATCTAATGAGGTGGCTGGTGTGTCTGTCTTTCTGATGGAGGAGGAGGAGTGTGTCTGTCTATATGTATGTCCATCTATCTAATGAAGAGGAGGCTAGTGTGTCTTTCTGTATTTATCTGTCAGTCTGTGTATCTAATGGAGGCGGCGGCGGCGGCTAGTGTTTCTGCCTGTCTGTATATCTATATATCTAACGAAGAGGAGGAGGAAGAGGCTAATGTCTTTCTGTCTAATGGAGGAGGAGGGTAGTGTGTCTGTGTGTCTATGTATGTATGTAATGGAGTAGGAGGAAGAGGCTAGTTTGTCAGTCTGCCTGTATCTCTCTCTCTCATGCAGGAGGCTGGTGTCTCTGTCTTTCTGTCTTGAGGAAGAAGAGTCTAGTGTCTCTGTCTGTATATCTATCTATCTGTCTGTCTGTCTTTGTATCTGGAGGAGGAGAAAGAGGTGAGTAGGGCGGGGGAGGAGGCGCAGGTGGCGGCGGCTTACCAGACCAGGGAGAGGGCTCTCTGCAAGGCACATCTTATCTATGGGGAGGGAGGGCACATTTTTAATTACTATCTTCTAAATGCTCAATTTTTTGAACATTGAAAAAAATAATGTGCTTTTTTGGTTTATATAGAAACAAGTTTGCTAGACTAGCTTCGATTGTTAGGAAATGGGTTAAAATTTCTTCTAAATGGAGGTTTAGAGGATGGCTTTGTCTTGTTTGGCATCCTTTTTAGATGATGGGACACTGTCTGTAGTAGTTAAAAGTTTTCAGTTTAATTGCCCACTTTTTAAAACCAGGGGATTTGATGGTGAAAGTAACCAGATTTCTGGGGCCCGAGTTGGAGACCCGAGGAGCGTCACTGCTCAGTCACCCACCGTGGGATCTGGCCTCTCACGGTTTGTTAACACCTGATCATTTCCTGTCCTCTCAGCCTCCTGCTGTCTCAGCTGCCCCAGCAGGCTGCTCTGGCCCACAAGTAAAGGTGCTTACGGGCTACCACAGGGTGCCAGGGTTGTACCAGGGAAACAGCGCTGATTCTAGGGGAGAAGTGGTGCTTTGTTGTACTCAGGAATGTCTGTGTGGTCTCTGGGCCTCTGCCTGTAAGTCCCATGTTCCCCTTCTCTCCCCCAGGGTAACACGTGCCACCAGTGTCGGCAGAAGACCATCGACACCAAGACGGTGTGTCGGAACCAGAGCTGTGGTGGGGTGCGGGGCCAGTTCTGCGGGCCGTGTCTGCGGAACCGCTACGGGGAGGACGTGAGAGCGGCGCTGCTGGACCCGGTAGGAGCGGGGCCCGTGCAGGTCACAGACTGTCCTGGCGCAGGGAAGCAGGCTGACGATCAGGGGACCTGTAGCCACACAGCTCTGGTTTCTGTAGACCCCTCTCCACCTTCTCTCTGCCTCTTAAGACTCAGTCTCAGAGAGAAATGAAAAACAGGGTTTCCTTCTGGAAAGAGAGCAAGCTGAACAACAGATAGGACAGAGGAGAGTATGTTTTGTTTGGTTTTCCAGGGTCAGAGCCGAGCTTTCTTACGGTTCTGGTTGTGCAGGTGAACCTGTGTGCCTTTCCTCCAGCAGTGTAATGTGTTTTCCTGGGCCAGGCCCGGGTATGTCGAGGTGAAGGGTGCCTTTTGTGTGCCCCACACTGCTTCAAGGTTTCACGTCTGTGAATGCAATTTAGTTTACTTCAGTTCTTGTTAATTCATTTAGCCTTATAAAGTAGGTATGTCACTTCCCTACACACTGGTTCCCTCTGTAAAATAAGATAATACAGAGTGGGAGTTAGTTTATACGCCCTTGAACCTGGGCTGTCTGGCGCCGGAGTCTGTTCTCTTAACCACGGCCCTGTGAGCTCTCTACCGCAGCAGTCCCTAGGAGTAAATCTCCTGTCCCCAGTTAGCAGATGAACGTAAACTACTTAGGTTAAATGATTTGAGAAACCCTATACTCCTAAGAGCAGGGTCAACTTCGTGGGTAGGTGACCCGTGAAGTCGTAAGGGGTCCTGCTCTTGGTCTGATACCTGAAATTCTCCAAAATTCGTAAACAGGTATCTACTAATTATACACCTGCTCCTATTTAAAAGCAGTATGTTTTACTGTTTCTGCATGAATGATACTGGGTGATCAACTTTTCTGGGCCTTTTTGAAACATGCAAGAGGGAAGAGATACATGTTATAGGTTGAAGGATTAGCTAACGAATCCCACCTGATTAAAGATAGGAGGGGAGGCCAAGTGAGCCAGGCTTGACCAGAACCTTGTCCTCCTGGAGCCTCTCGGTGACAGGGCATTTCTGCTGCCCCTGCTCTCCTAGGATTGGATGTGTCCTCCCTGCCGAGGGATCTGCAACTGTAGTTACTGTCGGAAGCGTGATGGCCGCTGTGCCACAGGGATCCTCATTCATCTGGCCAAGTTTTACGGTTATAATAACGTGAAGGAGTATCTGGAGAGGTACGTCTCACCCATCAAAAACGGAAGTCGTCATCCTTGGGTCTAGCAGGGGAGGTCCTTGGGGCAGGTAAGGAGTTGCCTCCTTTCGGGCTGATTGTTATAAACTGCCTCTGCCAGCCATTCTACATCTGTTTGTACTGGAAAGGCTCAGGACTGGTACTTTCCCTGTTAGGGAATTCCCTCCTTTGCTAGAATTTTCCCCTCATTTTGTCAAACAGTACTAAAATGTACAAGGCAGGTTGAGGGAAAGCTGCAAAGGCCAGAGGCAGCCTCTCCCTGCTAGGCAGAGAGGGGCAGTTCGGGCGATGTGCCCTGGGGACGAGGAGACAGCAGTTTCAGGACAGGGGAGTGAGGCGAGCCCCCTTGGCGCTGGTCTCCGGCAGCCTCTGCTACTGTGGAAGCATGAGGAGTGGGGACTGACTGCGTCAGGAGGACTGGTTTGGTGCCCTAGTGGGTTGCTGAGCCTCCTTAGCCATGGATGCTGCCGGGATTTTACTTCCATCCCACTAAACTGCTTGTCACACTAACACTTCCCATTCTTTTTCTCAGTTTACAGAAGCAGCTGATAAAAGACAATTAAGAGAGAGAAAAATCAGCCAACTCACCGTGGAGTACTCCAACAAGACATGCCGTACCGTTTGTGCCTAAGATTTCTTACTGTTGTTTTTATACCAAAATTCTTTGTAGATGTAAATTCTATTTTTTTTAAAGATTTGTTTATACACTTAAAAAGATTTCTCAGGAAGACAGCAGAGGAATCTCTATCCATGTAGTTGCAGGCCTGTTTGTATACTGAATTGTTAAGCATCTGCAGATGATTAAAAAGCAGTTTAACACGGAGTTAAAATTGCAGGTAAGTTCCAGGGAAAAAACACTGTACAAGCGGCTCTTGCCTTCGACACAGTTTAACTATCAGCGTGGCCTTGAGCTTTCACCGCCCAAACAGTAACTCGGGCCCAGTGTTTGCAGGGTTCTGGCCCCTTTTTTACACCTTACCACCAGCAACCATGGTTCAAACCACATAGTTTAACCTGCTCTGGGTCCTTGGAAATCTACATTGAAGAATGTTCCCCTAAATTACAAAGTGCAATTGATCACAGAAGTAGAGTTTTATTTCTATTAAAACCTGAACAAAAGTGAACCGTCACATGACCGACACTGGAGGCCTTGGAGGGCTGCTGGCCGGCAGGAGCAGCTGCCTCTTCATTGAGGATTCACCTGCTGCCTGAGGTCAGTTGCTTCTATATTTTAAAAGAATATAAGGGTTAATTTTTAATTTAAAAAGATTTTGTTTAATATCTGAAAGAACTAAAACATACGGACCGGGAGACTTCCAACCATGTTTTTGAGGTTGAATGTATGTTCAATGGAACTTTGATAAAAATGTGAGAAATACTATACTTTTTTTGTGTTGCAGGATGGGGGAGGTACTGGGGAAAGTTGAAAGTGAACAGATTCTGGAGTTTTCCTGTATTTTTTCTACATTTGCTTTTTGTCCCCCCTCCTCTACTTTTCAAGGGTGGTGTTTAAAAAAAATTAACACACATTTAACTTACTTAAAAGTTACCTAAGCCAGAATATATCGTATGCCTCTTGGTAGAATAAGTGACCACGCGTAGCAGCGGTGACAATGACAGATCCTCACTGTGTTCCGGCGGAGGCTGGAGGAATGGGCATCCCGGCACCAGGGTTTTATGACTCTAGCAGCAGAGCCACACCTGCAAGCATCCATCGGGCTGTCTTCTCTTTGCTCTTCAACCTGAAGGTCCAGACGTAGTCAGGGCCCCTTGTCTTGGTTTTGTACACAGGACACTCGTAGGTGTGTTTGGTTTCCTGTCTGTCCACGGGTATGGCTTTTGCAAAGATGACTGGCATCGCTGACCTTATCTCCTTGAGGCGGGCGTCAGCAATGGTTCCTGACTGGGGGTCCCATCGGGCACCTACAGCAGAAACACAAGGGTGGCAACTGTAGCATGGTGGTGCCGAGCCTCTCGCTGTTGTAGGCAATAAAGTTCTTCTGGTTTTGTCACATGACTGCTTGTCAGTGGCTTCCTTACTGATCCTGGCCCACACCTGAGACGTGAGGGAGGTTTAGAGACCTGCCGCCCTGCCCTGCGCACCCTGTGGCACAAACTGTGGCTCCCATGCTAACGCCTAAACTTTCCTATGAACAGTAAACAAAATAATTTGAATTCAGAAGGTGTAAAATTTCATGAAAGCAGATTCTTTCTTTATGAATCCAGACAGACACAATGGATCAAATTGGTTGGGGCTCCCTTTGAAAAAAAGAAATGAATTGGAATGCTTATGGACCGTGTAAGTCATCTCCAAGTCGCTGCGTTCCCTCCCCACTGTATGCACCCTTTCTTAAGCCAAGTTCAGGTCACTCTCTTACATCACCTAGCCTGCCTTTAAACATCTGAACTTGGGGCACACACCTCAAAGGGAAAAGGAGCACCTTGGCAGAGACTTGACAGCATTTCTCAAGGTGCCCTTTAGGGTAAGAGATAAGAGCAAAGGTTCTACAAGAGAAATGCATGGCTGAATAAATTTGGAGACTATTGCATACCCTACCCACCTTGCCCCACTAGCTATTGACAATATGCATTGGCATCTTCAAGGCTTAGAGAAGTCTTTTACTACAAGAGTGAAGTTACTGACAGATTTAAAAAATGAAAATATTTTCCATTGATTAAAAAGCAAAATTAATTTGGTGTTGGTCTTTAATGATAGCCATCACCCTAAATGCCTGGAAATTTGGCTCACGTTGGACACACATCCTAGCCTCGCACTTACATTGTCTGGCAGTAGGAAACGAGGTAAATGACCACTGGTGTGAGTGAGGTCCTAAACATAATAACCCTACGTGCGCTCCTGGGGGTGTCTTACCTTCCATGAAGAGCCCGTGGAGGTATGCACCTTCCCTGGGGGGGTGCCCGTAGTCCTCCTTTGTTTTTTTGGTAACATCAACAGTCAAGCAAATTTTATCCAGTGGCCACTCGTTTTTCCGAGCCATGGTCTGCATGATTGCTTTGGGAGGAGGAGGGACAGGAATTGAGTAGGATGAAATCACAGGTAAGGTTCCCAGGAGCCACCAGTAGGGGAGCATCTCCCTGAGGTGAGCTCTGGTCCAGTAGGGTGTTTCTGGTTCTTGGGTATTTGCATGTGGCTGCCCTAGAGCAAGGGTGGGAAAGGCCTGCAGGACAACCTCCCTGCTTCTGTGAATGAAGTTCTCCTGGAACAGCCACACCCATTAGGCATTTGTTTGCACTTGCACTGTCAGAGAGGAGCCCTGTGAGAGCCCTCAGCCCCCTTCCCTCACGCTGCTCCTCCTGCTGGCATTTATTTTCCCTGGAGTTGCACCATCACTCCTGCCCCTTTTCTGTCGTGGCTACTGCACAAGGACTGGTCAGCCGGGTGCAGGGGGGGCTAAGGGGGTGTCCCACAAAGGTAGAGCTAGGTTCATGTCTGCTAGGGGCATGGTTCTGTCAGCGTCAGGGGCTGCCGGCCCCAGCCCTTACCAGTTAAGAAGGACTGAGGATTGAAGAAGCCCGAAAGCCATACCACAGCTGGAAGGGCAAGATCTTGTGTCCAGGTATCGAGTTCTCGGCATCGCAAGAGGAGGTCATTAAGCCTGGTGAACAGAAGGTAGGAAAAAACAAACTTGCTTTTAGTATTAAAGAAGTTTTCCAGTAAGATTCGCTTCCAAGGAAGGCGTGGTAGAGAGGTCTACAACCGATAACCAGTAAAATCGTTACCTGATGATTTGCAGAACAGAGTCTCTTTAAAGGGCTAGATTACTTCCTGTTGAGATTTTGTATCCAACAGCTATTACCACTGGGGACAGGAAACATTGAGAGATGTGGAAAATTTGCCTCCGTTTATGCAAACGTTGTTTTATTTAGCTCCTCCCAGCGATAGGCGGTAACTCTACACAGATGATCTGTGTGTGAGCCGAGCTGACAAGTGCCCACACGGAGCTATGTGCGGGAACACACAGGAAGGGGCACCCGTGTGTGTCTGGGGATGGGGAGGGGAGGCTGAGATGACTGTCATCAGACCAGAGTTACCGGGAAAGGCAGAGGCAGTAGGACATGTGACAGCAGCCTCCACGTGCACTAATGACCTGACAGCCGGAAAGGAAAGGTTCTCAGGGGAAGCAGAGACCTAGCCATTGTATGCCCGTGGTCTGAGAGACTGCTTGCTATTACGCAGGTTCTCTAACCTTGTTGGCACAATTATGCAGGGTAGGAAGCATCTAAAATTTACCCAGAAGGACGCCAGCTCACAGAGGCTAAGGCAAAATGAACTTCTTTCATAAAATCAGAAGATACGTGAAACCGTGAAATGTAGGTTTAAGGGCTGCTAAAAGCAGCGGGGGATGGCGCAGGGGTTTAAGAGTGAGCACAGGGAGGCTAGCCCAGCGTCAGAGCCAGGGTGGGGCCCACAGGGAGGGGCTCGCACTGGCCCTGCAGGGACCCAGTTTGGTTCGTTCGGAGTTGCAGAGCAAACAGGGCTGAATGAGGAGTCAGCCTGACAAACCACCACTTGCAGGAAATGTCTGCTTGAGATTGGACTGGGAAGGAGGAAAGGCTCTAAACGTTCACATTCAAACCTTAGTCACTGCAAGGAAAATTCCTGCCAGCTTAGAATTCAATATGGGGCAAGGCCCAGAGCCATGTTCTTTCAAATAGCTGGATTAGGGAAAGCATACTTAAAGATAGATCACACAGAAGAAGAAAGGCAAAGAACAGCAAAAGCAACAATAGAAAAGACTATCTCATAAACTTGTCACAAGAGGACAAACACTGCAGCCAGTTTGCAACAAGTTTTTCTAAAGAGTGAGTTGTTGTATAAACAAGATTATGGTTTAGAGTGATCAGGTAGGAAAAAGTAAGGGAATTAAGCTGGAAGGTCTCAAATAGAAAACAATTATAGAAATGAAAGCAAAAAGTTAAGCAGCATAAGGTGGAATAGTAAGAAAAGCAAACAAAGTGGAAGTAAAGAGTTCAAGAGTTGGAGAGAAAGTAAGATGAACGCTGAAATGAAACGGAACATGTCCTACTAACACAAGTCTAGAAAATTTGAGTTTTCCTAAGTTACACATTTGAACCTGTGTAGTCAGGGATGTGTTTCAAGAAAAAGTGACACATTAATCTGTAGTACAATATATCTTAATATAGACTGTGAAGACAAAGAATGCTCTGGACATCCAAGACATAACATGAAGAAAAAAGTTGTGTCTGCCTCAGACACCACCACAGCAGCATTTATCAGAGAACAGAACAAGGCCTACAAAGCCCTCCAGCAGCGAATGGGCTACAATTTGTAAATAACCATTCCAACAGTCCTGTGAGTACAAAGACAAGCGATTACATGGCGTGAAAAACCACCAGTAAATCCCATCAATCAACAGGTACCGAACCCCCAAACAGTAAGAGGAATCTGAAATAAAGTCTTAACACACAGGTTTAAACTCCTGAGGGGAAAAAAAAAAACAATAGGCAAAAGCAAAATTATGAGAGTAGGTCACCCATCAAAATAAGCAACCTGGAGCTAAAAATAGATTTTGGACAGTGACATTTTAAAATTCAGGGGAGGAAGAGGAGACAACTGAAGATGTAATGAAGATGACTCAGAACTGACTAAATCAACCAGAATAGACACATGCAGGTTGAAAATCCGAGAGTATCAGCGTGCAGGCAGATGAATATAACGGCAAAGGCAGTACCTGGAGAAAGAAGAGCTAAGAGTTTTCAGAGTGGGAGCAACGGCGGGCGCCCATTACAACAGCCCACAGCGCCAAGTAGGCTGTACTCGCAGAAGTAGAAGCCCACACCTAACTACGTTTAGCAGGAAAATTCTGCGGTATCAGGGGTAAGAAGAAAGATCCTACAAACGTCCCGGGGAGGAGGAGTTAGTTATGAAGGGGTGACAGGAATATTTATGAACAGCCTCATCAGCCATGATGGACGCCCGAGGACAAGCGAGTTAGAACACCGGTGTTCTGCAGGAAAATCTTCTCATTGTATCTAGAAGTCGGCCTGCAGGGAAACTGCTCATTGAGAGGGAGAGGAAAATAGAGAGAATCCAGACACAACCCCGTCTACTCCCCGCCACGTGCACAGAAAGGCCTGCTGTGTATCTTACCCTCTAGCGAAATGCAAAGGGGACTCGGGACAAGGGAGCCCAGGGTGTGATGCCCGAGCAGTCACGCTGCTGCTGCTGGTCACAGTTACTTCAGCCACAGCGAATGGAACTTCTGCCTTCTGCAGCTGAAGGTTCCAGAGGAAACATGCCTGGGGTCAAACCTGATGCAGCAGCTCAGAGAAAAACCCAGTTCCTGTCCCTCTTTGCATTCTGCAGTGCTGGCTACGTGACCACTACGTACGTAATTTATACCAACTACAAAGGGGCTCTTTTATTTTAGAAATAAAAATAAACAGGATTCTATGCCAAAAGAGTAAAAGATGAGGATGAAAAGAACGATATAACTGAAATAGGTAAGTTTTGAAAACACAGTCTCTCAGGATGCATACCTTTGATGGCTGTAATCCACTGTGGCAGTTCTTACCTTACCTGTGACTGATGACATGGTCTCTAAATTTGCTCTTTGTGGTGGGGAAAAAAAATTTTTTTTTTGAAAGTGCACAGTAACTCAACTGTGACAACTCTCTACCGGAGACAAGTGAAATACATCATAATGCTATATACTTTCTAACACTTTTTCTGAATGATCTATATTCCATACTACTACAGTTTTATAACTACATCTTCTCAAACGTATGTCAAGTTCACCACAGGCCATCTTTGCAAATGAGCTTGACAAAGCATCCTAAAAAGATTCCAAAGAGACAATCTTTCAACAGCCAAAACAACTCCTGAAAGGTCTTTTTGCCTCAAAATGATAGACTTAAGACAAAAGCTTAAATGGTTTTACTTATATTTGTCATGTACACAAATTACTTATCTATAAATCACTTACACAAAAGTATTAATATGTGGATTGACTTGAGAGAAACTTGAAATCTGTCTCAGTTGCAAAACAAAAATACCTGGTGTTTTAAAATAGCTGGTGAGAATGTAGTTTGGTGCAGCCATTATGGAAAACAGTATGGAGATTCCTCAAAAAACTAAAAATAGACTTACCATATGATCCAGCAAATCCCACTTCTCAGTATATATCTGGAGAGAACTCTAATTTGAAAAGATACATGCAGCCCAGTGTTCATAGCAGCACTGTATACAGTAGCCAAGACATGGAAGCAACCTAAATGTCCATCAGTAGATGACTGGATAAAGAAGCTGTGGTGTATTTATACCATGGAATACTACTCAGCCATAAAAAGAATAAAATAATGCCATTTGCAGGAACATGGATGGACCTAGAGATTGTCATTCTAAGTGAAGCCAGAAAGAAAAATACCATATGATAACAGAAACAGACTTGCAGACATAGTAAACAGTCTTATGGTTACTGGGGAAAGAGGGTGGGAAGGGATAAATATGGGAGTTTGAGATTTACAAATGTTAGCCACTATATATAAAAATAGACTTTAAAAGTTTCTGCTGTATAGTACAGGGAACTATGTTCAATATCTTGTAATAACCTTTAATGAAAAAAAATATGAAAGTGAAAAAAAAAAAGTTGAACTACAATTCCAGAACAAATGGAGGTGAAACGTCTAAAGGCAAAAGTGCTAACCTTATTTACTTGGGGTTCAAAAAATCCAAAGTATTTTTGCTACAATGTAAAGAGTCCCCATTAAAATAGTAGGAACTGTACACGGATAAACATGGGATAAAGAAAACTACTAAACTGCCAGAAGGCAGAAAAGGTTGGAAAAGAAGCTAGGAAAGATACAGAAATTAGGAAGCAAAAAATAAGATGGTGGAACAAATTTAAAGTTACCATTATTATAAAGCTTAACAGTAAATATAAACCCTTTATTTTTATTGGAAATACAAAATCTGATTTTAGATATTCATAGCATTAATCGAAACCTAGTGAGAGGCTTTGCTCACTTCCCTGCTGCAGTGACTTGCCGCCGTTTGTGGTGTGTTTGCGTGTCCCACACGGCAAACACCTGGGTGCCCGAGAGGCAGCTCCAGCGTACAGTCATTTGGAATTCTAATGGGACCTTCTAGTTTAAGGATCAGAGTTGCATTCTGGTACATGGAAGAAAATGTCAAGAAAGTGAGGATAAAGAATCTCCACACAGAAAAGCCAAGAATAAAGAGAGCCTTGGGAAACTTTCTGTATTGACTACCAAGGCCGACTGTGGTTGGAGGCAACAGCAGCCCTTCCGTCCCCGGCTTTGCGGCACATCTCTGTGATCATGCCACACGCTGAAGGCAGTCTGATCTACAGTATACCATTTTAAAAATTTGCCATGAAATAGCATTAGTTGTCACTGGCTTTGAAAATAAGGGCATAAGATGGCACGAGGGTTAACTCAAGGTGCCTTCCACGGCCATTTAAATCATAGCAGCTCAATGAGGGAATTTCATTATCTACATTTTCCAGATGATAAACTGAAACAGAGAGTTCAGGCATTTTGTCCAAGTTCAGAGAGCTAGTAAGTGGGAAGGAGAATTTGAATCTTTTTCTGACCCCGACTTTAAATTGAGTTTTGTCTTCGAAGCAACACACCAAGGAAACTTAAAGGAAACTGGTGGTAGTTTGCACAGTTCTGCCGGAATATGATCACAAAGCACCGTTTTCATAGTTTTTATGAGGCACAATTTAGAACACTAAACCAGCAACCAAAGCACACAACGGCCAGCAGGAGCAGGCAGGGGCGGCTTACCACTGGGCCAGGCCGTAAGTAGATGGATAAGCCAGTTTGCTCCAAGTGTCTGGTACTGCATCACAACCCAACGCAGACTGCTGCGCTTCCAGGTCGGGAGATAACGTCAGCTCCCCCTTGCGTGGAGAAGAAGGCCACATGGTGAACCTCTTTCAGTGTTGGGAAGGCTGCTCCAGTCCCACCCCTAAACTTACCTTCAGTCCAAGGTCTAATTGTTGAAGTGACACACGGATTTCCCGCAGGAGAATATTCATCCTCTCACATTCTTGGAAGCAAACAAGAACATAGGGGCCTCTATTTGGATTTTTTTGCATTATCTCTGCCATGTTGAACTCTTCGGGAAGTTTCTCCAAAATGTCATCCAAGACATTCTTAACCTTAAATCATTAACAAAGATTTAGCTCTTTATTTCATTCTTGGTCACAGTGACTGTATAATCCTTTTTCTTTAAGTCCAAGAATATAAGCATACAACTCCCAAAGATGCTTGCTAATAATGCATTTTAAATTAATGAGAAACAAGATTTTAATATAAAAGTAAAAGAAAAAGTACTTGATGCCCCCTTCTCATCCCCATCATTCTATAGTAATAAATACCTTCAAAAGAAGAATAATGCCAATGTCTCAAGAAAATGTGGAAAGAGACACTCTAACAAAATTACAGCCAAAAACACACTGAGTGAAAGGCAAGCCACATATCTGGAGAAGATACCTGCAATACATGTATCTAGCAAAGGACACACATCTAGAATAAAGAGTTCTTCCAAATCAGTAATAAAAAGACTGACAAGTCAATTAGAAATTGGGCGAGCAACTGGAACAGGTACTTCACATGAAAGTATATCCACATGGCCATGAGCATATGAAAAAGTGCTCAATATTCTTCTTTTACTGAGGAATACAGAGTTAAAACTACAATGAAGTATCATTACCCCTAACAAGACGTAAGGAGCAAGAGCAAGTGGGACTCACACACTGCTGGGGGGAGGTACAGCCACTTTGGACAAACTGTTGGGGAGCATCTACTAGAGCTGAACACTGAACTCTGACCTCGCAATTCCACTTCGGGGTGTAGAGGAATGAGTACTATGAGCAGATACCTTTGGGAGTTACCTTTGCTGACAGAAGACAAGAATATTCATGGCTGGGATAGAACAGTGAAAAGCTAGGAACAACCCCAACATCCATCCCCCACAGAAAGAATACAAAAAGAATTTTATCTTCATATAATAAACTAACTACACAAAAATGAACCAGTGGTCCATGCAATCACATGAATGAATCCCACAAATGTAACGTGGAGCAAAAAGAGTCAAACATAAATTAGGACATACTGTACGACTGCATGTATTTGAAGTTCAAATACAGGGAAAGCTAATCTACAATGGCAGAAGTAGAGAGAGTAGTTATCTTTGGCCTGGGGTGGAGAGTCTTGATCAGTAAGGGGCATGAGTACCCTTCAGGGGTGCTGGAAATGTTCTGTATTTTGATGTGGATGGTGGTTATATGTGGTAAAATTCACTGAGTTGTGCACTCAAGATTAGGGCATGCCACTGCAGGCGCAATATACTTCAGTAGAAAAGAAAGACCCTTTACCTTGTCTTCTATGGATTGCCCCAGCTCCTCACTGCTGAGTGCATCCCTGGGCTGCATCTCCAGCAAAGTTCTGAAGAGAGCATTGGACGTCACTGTCAGGAAGTCTGTTTCAGCACTGGGGTGGAGGCCGTACAGTGCTGGGCTTTCTGGAGGAAGCATCTCTTCTATGTACTGGTGGTAGCCTGAGTAATCCAGGTTCGGCGGGGCTGCAAATCCTGGTGCCAGCATCAGTTCATCTTCGATCTTCCACCACAAAGGAAAAGTCAGTTATTCCAGATCTAAGTGGACATCAATCTTCACTTCCTCAGTATAATCTCAGATTTTTTTCCTGGTTGTTCTTTAGTTCCCAGGGGACTATTACACCTCTGTTTTAATTTTCCCAGCCTCTCGGGCTGTAAATTCTGTCTAACTGTTCTTAAGTGTGCAGGGGAAGCTATTTTTTAAAACTGCCACCTAGTGTAGCTGTTTTATGCCAAGACTTTTAAAATCATTTTCTGAAAATGGGGTTTATCTCTACAGTTCTTCCTGTTATGCCATCTGGTCCCCTCATGATCACCTGGAGGCAAAGTAAACATTGATTCACTCATTCAATAATAGGTAGTGATCACCTAGTATTCTCCAATAAGTCTTGGAAGTGATTCATATAAACTTGTTCTTAAGGAACTCACAGTCTAATGGGGACAAAATGCGTGCGATTTTCTATACAATCATGTCATCTTGGAGTAATGGCAATTTGTTCCTTCTGAAACCTGCAATCCCAGATTGCCTAGAGAGTCTGTGTCCTTACGGATGTTGCCCAGCTGTTCTCCACCAATTCCAAAAGGCGTTTTAAATATTTGGCGCATCACTTCTATTTTTATTTTATACCAGGATTATCAAATTACCCAGTCCTTCATACGGCCAGAAACAGAGCCCTTGACCCAGTAAATATGAGAATAGGCAACGCAGACTGTCTCACCACTGGTATCCATTAGCTTGCTTTGTTTTACTCATTTATTCACATTTTCTATCATTTCATATTAATATAATCAAAATAATCAAAATTTAAATTTCACCTGACTCAGCGTGATCACAACAAAACTGTGAAGGAGATTTAAACTCACCATGATTAGATAAATATAGTAGCCAGAGTAAAAATATGGGCACAAAATATGTATACTAAAACCGAAAGTTAGACTAAATATATCCAAGCTGCACATTGTCCTCTACAAACAAGGACTTGGTCTTCCCTGTTAGTGCTCAAAGAAATTTTAAGAGCCACAGTTAAATTAATTTTCAATACAGCCAAAAAGTTAAACAGTTTCAAGCAAAGAAAGTAGCCAAAAAGTGGAACCAGTTGGAACTTTCAAAATGCCACAGGGAACGGGCATTTGAGTGCATATTCACATAATGCTGGTGGGAGTGTATTTGGTCCAGGCTTTCTGGAAAGACAGTGAGGCACTCTGTTTACAAATATGCAAAGAGTGCCTTCTGTATGCTGGCAGTGAGCGAAGCAAAGGAAACCATTGCAAAGTCAAAGGGAAAGGCTTAGGTTTATAGCCAGAAAGATCTGGTTCAGTTCCCATCCCTGAATGATTTGGTGGCCTTAAAAAATAACAGTTTATCTGAGTTTCAGTCTCATTAAAATGAGGCTTGTAATAACAATCTAATGATGGTGGCTGTGGGAATTTAGTGACAAGGTATGCAAATAGCTAGGCACATCGCAGACTTTTACAGAGGTTAGTTTGGTCTTTCCTGTGCCCTATGAGCAGACATGATTATTTCAAGTATGCTCTGACTTTCTGGAAGGAAAAACAAAACCTGAGAATATCCTGTCAAATTCCTATGATGTCAAACAAGTGACACTTGATAAGCAAGGCTTGGTTCACACAGAGACGTGTTCTCCTTAAAGAAAACTGTGAAGAGGTCAACATACCCAAGGAGCTCCTGGAATCCTGACTCTGAATCCAGGCCTCCTCCCATCTCACTCAAGGGCTTTTATGAAAAGCTGCTTCCTGCTGACGGGGCCTAACTCTCCGCACAGCGGAGTCCTGTCTGGCTTTCAGGGGAGGGCTGTTTGAGAAGGTTGTTGTTATACCTCAAAGAATCATTCATGGTTCTACACAGACACGTCTCCAAGGAAGACACACAAACGGCCTTTAAGCACAGGAAAAGATGCTCTGCATCATTAGTCTCCAGAGAAATGCAAAACAGAAGTACAGTGTGATAGCACTTCACACACACCAGGATGGCTGTAATCAAACATGGACAAGAGGAGTGCTGGGGAGGAGGCGGAGAGAACGGAGCCCTCGTACGTTGCCGGTGAGAATATAAAATGGTGCAGACACTTAAGAAAACATTAAACATGAGAGTTACCACATGATCTAATAACTTCATTTCTATGTATAGACCCCCTAAAAGTTGAAATGTCTGTGCAAACACATACATGAATATTCATAGCACCATTATTCATAATAGCCAAAAGTGGAGACAACCCCAATATCCATCAACTGATGGAGAGAGAAACAAAATGGAATGAATCCATACAATGGGATATTATTTGACCCTTAAAAAGAATGAAGTGCTGATACAGGCTATAACTTGGATGGACCTTGAAAACATGGTAAGTGAAGTCAGACACAAAAGGCGAGATATCATCTGATTCCATTTACATAAAATATCCAAAACAGGCAAATCTATAAAGACAGAAAGTAGATTAGTGGAATGGGGGATGCTGAGGGGGAAAGACGGTGAGTGACTGCTAATGAGTACCAGGTTTCTTTCGGAGGCGATGGAAGATGATCTAAAATAGATTGTGGTGATGGTTGCACAACTGTGAATATGCTGAAGACCTTTGGATTGTCCAACTGAAGTTGGTAAATTTTACAGGATGTGAATTCTGTCTCAATAATGATATTTTTAAGGAAAGAACCAATGGAATCATGCTTATGAACCTCCACATCATGAAAAAATCATCAAGAATTTAAGTCATCTTTGCAGACATCAGAGCCAGGCACATTGTCGGGCACAATCATTAGAAATTGGGAACGCGAGTCCTGCCATTCCGTTGACTCCATCGGATTGTTGGCCTTTTTACATTCTCCCTCCTGTTACTTAATAAAAGACTCGCCTCCTCCACTGCCTCTCCAAGTAGTCACTTGGTTATGATAAGAAGCTCCCAGTTCACTATGAGTCTAAACAAGTGCATATGCCCTTGGCTTTTTTGATTAAAACATGCCATGACCCCAAAGTGCTGTGAGGGATTTTCAGAAATTACTCAAGGGTGAATCACGTTATCATGGTGTTGTTAGAGCTAAAGGATACCTTAGTGACTTTCTAGGCAACACCTTCATCTTACCAGTGAATAAACTGCGGCATGGCAAGGTCCAGCACAAAGCTGGACAGCAAGGTAACAACAGAACCAGAACTGGTTCTCCTGGGCGGTCCAGTGTTATTCCTGGTGCCACCACCATGCACGGTAGAGACGGGGGTCCATGTTTCAGTGACCTGTGCCCAGTTACTACCAACTGATCAGCACCCAGCCAGTGTGCTGCAGAGAATTTGGGCTCTGCCTGTGAGTTCAAATCGTGGTTTAGCTACTTACACAACTGTCTGACCTCTCTAAATCTAGGTTTCTTTTGTGATGACCTGGGATAATAATACCTCCTTTGCAGGACGGCAGTGAGAATAATACACTGCACAGGACAGACCCCTGACACAGAGAAGGTAGTTAATGAACGGTTTCCACTGTTAAACCACAGATTACAGTGCAGTCAAGAATAAAATACATACTATGAAAGCTTATACTTCGTAATAATAAAAATATCTCCCATTTATTAAGCATTTTGTTCTAATATTATACCAATGTTTAAACTGGACAATGAACCCACAAGTTGGGCCATTCTTGTTCTATAGATGATGAAGCAGAGACTTAGGTCCAGTGATGTATCTAAAACTGCACAGCAAACACAAGGAAGAACTCAATTTCAACCTGAGTTTTTTGTCTTGTCTTGTTTCATTTCAAAGCCCAACTTGTTCACTGTCTGTATCACCAAAATAGTTTTAACATGACAACTTTCAGGCGACCCGATACCCTATTTTCCAAAAGTAATTTACTGTATTACTTGTTCAGCACCCTAAGTGCCCCCTCATTTATCCAACAAGAAACTCACCCAGCCTCTTAATAGGACAAAGTCACTGAAAGCATTCTGACCAGCAGAACCTGAAATCCCACACAAGTAATGCGTTGCTTTTTGATCACGTGCCAGTGCAACCAAAGAAACTAACTGCCAGATCGCTTAACCGACGTAAGAACTGGCAAAAAGACATCCTGCAGATGCTGACGTATTAGATTAAGTTCCTAGTAACATAAGCTGCAGGAGCAGAAAACATCTGCATGAGAACATAATAACTGGGGTTTTGCAGCCTCTGCCACCCAGTCAGTCAGTGCTCTAACCTCTGTGAGTTGAAAAGGGAGCGCTGTCTGGTGAGGATGCAGGACTGCAAATGAGCATCTCCATCCCGAACACCTCACCAGGTTCCTCTGCATGGAAGGGGGCGGGTACCTGATTTCTAAAGGGCTAACGCACACACCAGTGATGCCCCTGGGGTTGCATCATCTATGTTTATTTTACAATTATGTGAATGAGAGTTCAGGCTTGTGAAGGTTAATGGACTGCTTTGTTTGGTAACAGTAATTCGCTCCTTTTCTCCAAGGCAGAGACAGAGAGGCAACAGCAGAGTGACCTTCTGGCTCTGCCCCTTGACCTCCACCATCTTTCGAGGAAATCAGCCTTTGTAAAGGTGGCGCACTGGACACTGTTCATCTTTCCCGTCTCCATGGTAACCTGCTCCCAGACCTCTTCTGAGGAGTGACTTCCAATTGTGTTAAATTGAAAGTGCCTTTCTGACCTGTGAAACCCTGCTCATTAGAACTAAGGAAAGACCAGGAGACTCATAATCAAAAGAAATAAATAATAATCATATGGCAGGAAAGTATTTTTTTTCCTGCATCATCTCCAAATCGTTTAACATTATTTAAAAGTATCAGAAATTAATGTCCCCAATGTTCTATATGAGACTACAATACACCACATTTTTCAATACATATATTATACTGCTTCTCAAAATGGACTCGAGGAAGGTGACTGAAACTATGTAACTCTTTTATGAGATGAAGTTGTCAAGAAGTTATAAACAGGCAGTTGCCCAAACTATTTTTAAAAATACATGGCACTGTTCTAAACACACTGAGTGTCTGGTCCAAGTGGGAGCAGAGATGGTATGGTAGAGGGTTTCCAAGAAATAATCAGGCAATGGCCATGAAACTGGAGACCTTAAGAGAGAGACATGAGAAAAGTATGCCACCACTTTCAGCTGCTTTGGTGTGGAAAACAAGGACTGAGCACTTTTTCCAGAAAACCCAACCCCAGTCACAAATCACGTGGGTGTCTGGTCTACACAAAGGGCTGGTAGGATGAGAAATGGGGAAAGGGTATCTGGTGTCTTTAAACTCCCGTATAGGGGGCTCCACCCCTTTCTCACAGAAGGAAGAACTGCATTCTCATGTCAGTACATTTTCTGGAGCACACACTTAGTTAGGGGTTGGTGATCACAGTTTAGAATATTCCATGGCTTCTGTGACAGTGGAAAAAACTACAGATTTCACTTGTTTCAGAGCCCCTGCACTGAAATCAATACACCTATCTTCTGGCTGGAGCTCCTGCCCGTGATAACTGAGTGACGTGGGGCAAATCACCGTGCCTCAGTCTTTTTGTCTACAAAATGGGGTGACAATGTCAGTTCTGCATACCTCACAGGGTTACCCCAAAGATCCAGTGAGTCCGGGCATGTGGCAGTACTTCCTGTGAACTCACTCTAACAAGCCCAGAAGTCAGCTGGGTCGGATGGGGCGGGGGGTCTGGTTAAAATACAGATTCTGATTCTGTGGGTCTGATGTAGGGCCTGAGACACTGCATTTCTAACAAATACCCAAACTCCTTTGAATCTGGGCCAGAATATACTCACAAAAGGCCAAGAATCCTCCATAACATTCAAGATTTACAGAGTGAAATTGATTTAAAAAATCCTGTGTTTTTGCTCCTCTGGGAAATGATTTAAAAAACAACTTACCAAAGAGGGATTCATGAATTCTTCTAAGTACGCCCGGCACAGTTTGCGGTCCCAGTCATCTGTGATGTGGCCCCCATACATGATCTCACCAAAGAGATAATGGAGGGCTTCCCACGGGACCTGGGGGAAATCACACCAGCATTCACTTCCAGGTCCAGGGCATCTGCCTCAGCACGTTCAACCAGCGGCAAGTGCCTCCCTGCAAGCCCCTCCTACACAATTCTTCCCCAACCCAACCCCCCCCCCCCCGCCAACAGGAGCATTTAAAAGAGGTTCCCTGAAACTGTCTGGGCTTCTGCATTGAGTTTCATGAGAGAATTCTTTTCAATGTGTTCTAATGCATTTGGTGAAAATTCATTAACACTGAGCTTTTAATGCAGGGTTTAAAGCAAACTGAGTTATTCCTAGAACATGTTATGCATTAAAGTTTACACCTTCAAAACCTTACCTAAAAATTGCAAGACCGTGTTGTTTCACAGGACCTTTGAGTGATAACATATATTTATGATGTGATTTATATCAGGTTTTATGCTCTGACTCAGGGTTAAAAAAAAAAAAAGGAAGACCCATACAATTTGAATGTGGGGTGTATTTAGAATCCCATCACCTCCAAAGGTCCGGTCAAACCGATCCGTTCGCCATGGATGGACTTGAGGGCTCAGTTGATGCCACGACCGTGACATGATGGCTCTAAGGGCTGTAATGAATGACTGGACCAAGTTTTATTCATGGAATCATGGTAGCTCCCCTTTATTTGGCTTTGCAGGGTTTGAAGCCCCTCTTCGCTACCCTTTAGCTTTCTCTGGGTTTGCAAAACATGCCAGTTTGTGATGGAGCCCTTCTAGACAGAAACCTTACCCTTGGGGGCAGTATATTGCCTCCCAGCAGTTCCAGTTAAAAACTTAATTACAGCCTTCATTTGTTTCATGATGTGACAGAACAAGTCAAATTGCTTCAACCACTCCAATGTGCTTGCTCCAAGTTTATTTAAATTTGAATAAATGAGCCTCAACTATGTCTTTCTTTTAAGCCACTGTGATGTGAATGAAAAGTAAACGTGGCTACCCTGCGCCGAGCTCTCTCAGCCGCCCTAGGGACTACCTTCTACAGAGCAGAGACGGGTGGGAAATGGAGACCTCCTGATCTTATTTCTCTGCTTACCTTTAATTAATGCCTACTATGCTGATATATAGCTCCCTAGAGGTTTTAATCAGCCAGCGATCTAGTCTTCTCAATAACTGATTCTCTGCCCCTAAATCTTGCTCTGTGTTTTTTACATATACCTTCTTGAAAGGGGTACCTTGTACCACCACAGTATATGTCCATGTCAGCTTAATTCCCAAATCCTAGTAACTTGTTTCGTGGTGTGTGGTTAACAACTTGGGTTAAGACATCTGAGAGACAAGAGAGCATGTTTAAAACCTAAAGCTGTGCTGATCCTGGAACACCCATGGGAGAAGCAGCAGGACATAGCACGACTCAACTGGCCAACTGGTGTGGCCAAGCCTCGGGATGTGAGTGGGACTGAACAGAGTCAACTCTTCTCTTGTGACCCCTCCATACCAACCTCAACTGTGTACACAATCCGGCTGAAATAGGACACTATTCCTGGGCTCAGCTCCCTGGGACAGTAACGAAGGACCTGAGTAAAAGTACTGTGGTCTATTTCATTTGCTATCCAGAACTACCCAGACCTAATAATCAGTTTTACCTGCAACACTTTAAACAGAATGTGCTAAGAGCAACACAAAATATTATGTATTAGAACGCTCAAAACATGCTCAAAGTGAATTTCATAAATTTCAAAAATCCTAGATCTGGAACGGTGAGCAGCACATGAAAGCCATTTATTTTGGATACAACTTACTCAAAATATGTTCATTAGGAGAACACATTCATATTATGTTATTCTAATCTCAGTCAAATCATCGTCAGAGCTTGATAAAACTCTGATAACAAAACCCGTAACAATGGTTACCAAAAGAAGAAAAAAATAACCATTTATACATAGAAACATGGATGAATTGTTTTATAGACCCTTTCAAGAAAGTGTGGCCCAAAGCACAACACCTGGTTGGCTCTGACAAATATATCTCAATTTTAACAGATTTCACTTCAATGGAAAAAAGTTCCCTTTCTGAGGACTGAGCCAGAAAATCCTAACAAATGGTTTGTACTTTCTGAAATCTAATCACTGAGTTCCTAAGAGTTTACACAAATGTTCTTGATGGAGCACTCCCACTCCCATCTGTAGAACCCATTTCATCCACGAAATAAAATCATTCATCTACCTTTAACTTCGAATCAAGGGGAACATTGCTGAGAAAGTCACAACAAGGTGGCATCCTTAATACATAATAATGACATATGCAGGAAATGCACCATTATTTATACATGTGACGCGCTGTAAATTGCTTCCATCATCAGAACTAATTGTAGTGATTATTAATGCAGTGTTATGAACTGTCAGAATTGCTGTATGTAATTACATTTGTGCAAATGCTTCATTACCTGCCTAATGAATCTGGCATATATGCACGTGTAAACCACTGTTTTCGTTAACATAATGAAGGACATTTTTTTTTTTTTTTTGCACTAAGCTGCTGATGTAGAACTGGTCTGACCTATCTTAGAAAGTTCGAGCATCCACTGCTGGCAAACCTTTGATCTGGTTTATTTTCACACTTGGCAGAAGATGCATATACAGTGTCAGCTCTTTTAATAATCACTTCTAAGGAGAAACGATGTTCCATTTTGATAGTGCCCAAGGCTGGCAGATGCGGTACCCTCCTGAGAAGAGGTCACCTGACCACTGGCACTTACGTGGGGGCTTGCCTCTAGGTAGTTGTAGAGGATGCTGGCACAGATGGTGAGGTCTCCGGGACTGAAGGGGTAGCTGCGGCTCCAGCCCTGGGGGCCGAACCTCAGTCTCCCAGCAACGCAGGCATGAAAGTAGCACAGAGAAAAGAGGATGCTTTTAAACTCCTGCTCCTTGGAGCACACTTCAAGTGTATCCTGGTAGGAAAGAAAAAAAAAGTCTGATTAGCTGCCTGTATGGTTTCTGAGGGTAAGGGTCTGAGTTTTCAATAATCTTGCAGCAGACTCTGAGGGAGATCTAGGACCCAGGGAACAGGCAGTTTGAGGCTATGAGAGCGCAGTAGGAGACTTGGCGGCATTCGCCCGTCTGTGGATTTAAGAGGAATGCTTTTCTTCTGCTTCAATTCTTCTGCTGACTGTTTCACTAGAAAATGAGACAGTTCATTTCAACCAGGGCTAATACTGCTTGAGATCATTTTCCTCTGCAAAAGTTTTCTTGTCCAACCTGTATGACAAAAGGACATCGTCTTAGTGTCACGACAGTAGCAGAGTACAAGTTCACTCCAGCTTTCCATTCCTCCTGGTTCCGTAGTAACATGGATTATCTGGACACCTGGCCGCTCATTGGAGAACAATTTTCCAGCCTCTCTTGAAGACAGATATGTGCCATGTGACCAAGTTTTTGCCAACAGACTTTGAGCAGAAGTGATGTGTGCAACTTCCACTTCATTTACTTTAAAGGAAACTGCTCGCCCTGGTTGTCATTCTCTTCCCTTTCCGGTGGCCTAGAAGTGAGGATGACTGGACGACTATGGAAGCCATGGGTTAGGTCTGGTAGAGACACCCACCAGCTTGGGTGTGTGGCTGACATGGAACAGAGCTGCCAATTATGTGTGAGAGAAATGATCTCGTGTGAATCACACTAATTTTGTACTGGAACTTAACTGAGACAATCACCATGACAAGTGGCTTTCTTCCAATAAATTGAAAATAAAATTCATTGCTGGGATGATAGAATAACACAGAGACAATTGGAAAACATGACCTGGAGAGTACCTCTGTAAGATTTTTTTTGAAAATGCAGAGGGAAGCCTGGTATGCTTCATGGATATAGTTATGGCTCCAAAAGCCATAAAGTTTACAGGTGAAAAACAGCCACCTATGGCTTAAAGGTAGAACTTTCCCCATTCTCAGATCTGGTAGTTCTGTGAGTCCAACAAGGAGAAGTTGAGGACTACTCTGTTAGCCGAGGTTGAGCAACAGAATAAGATGAGGCCAAATCGGCACCTTCTTGCCTTGTCCTTTAAAATGGTCAAATTACATTGAGTCTACATTTAAGAGGATCTGACGGTGTGGGCCATCTACAAAGTACATTATGCATATTTTCGGATCTGGCCTAGGAGCGTTTCAGTAAAAGTCAAAACCGAGGCCAGATTTGTTCTCTTGGTCCAGGACCACAAAAGCTTTGGAGTTTCTTTTTGTATCGCTATCATCAGAATCCAGGGTTACCAGCAAATATCGTTCTGGAATCAACCAGGCTACACAGAGTACAGACCCAACTCGGTCACTAGGTTATTCCAAATGATGCAGCCATTTCTATGTAATTTATAGGGCTTGAAAATATACGATCATTGCTAATAACTTTTCCACAACTAAACATCAAATAAAAGGCAAGCGTGTGAAAGAAGAAAGGGGAAACCATAATAATTGGAATTAATCTTGAAGAATATAAAACTACATTGCTTTTAAATGTAAGAAATGCCTAGGAGACCAAATTCGACTGTCGAAATTTTACTTAAGAATAACAATCCAACAAGTTACCTAGTACCTCCCTGAATTACACACAGAGCACAGAAAACCCAAGGTACTACATACAGGAAGTACATTAATTCCATCTATATTTCATATAACTGGCCTAGTTGTAGCCTCAGTGCTACCAAAAAATCACAAGTCAATGCCCATTTCATTATGCTCTGATAATATAAATGACACTGGAAGGAAATACGAGTCAGGCTTTCCTAAGTAAAAGTATGAGTCTAAGTAATGTTCCACGTTCCAAGTCAAGTAGTTTTACAAAGCAAGTGATAAACAAATTAGTATCAGAAAATACACAAACAGCACTGGGAGGAGAGAAGAGGCATCCATACACACATACGCACATTACAATTATTTGTTTCTGCTGCAAATCTTACAGGAAAAGAAACTGACATCCTTCCTTCAAAAATCTAATTATCTGAGGATGAGAGGAACCCAAACATTTATGACATCTTCTTCAAGAGGAAATGCTACTAAGCTGAAAGAGGGGTAGTAGGCAGCTTCCTACAAGAAATGGTTCTTTACATGTTGGTCACTTAATGGTCTTATTTACATAAATATTCCAGAATGCTCAGGGTAATAAAGGACCAATCTTAAGTGACATTTGTTCATTATGAAAACACATGGCAACATTTGGTGATCAGTTCTGATCTGAGGGGAGGATTAAAAATCCAGACTTCATTTGATTTGAAAATTAACAGAAAACAAAAACACCCAAATGGAACAGTTAGTGTGTCTAGATTCCGGGGGTGATTTTCTCATCGGAGAAGAGCACCAGGTCAACAAGAGTGACGGGGACTCACTTACCTAACCCACATGAGAACCAAGGTAGATGGCATTCATCACCCTCCGTCCATGCCACAGTTTTCAGCAAGATAGGGCCATGGCAGCACCACAGAACACTCAGGATAACAGGAGGAGACTTGGGGAGGCAGGAGGTCTGTGTTGGAGACCACTCACTGCCTGCCCTAACAAGCCTTCCTGCTGACTTCTAGCTGGGCATACCCTGCCCAAGATAAATTCACTTTTCTCAGACTCTCTTGCAACTAGGTAGTGCAATGCGACTGAGTCTGACCCATGAGTTGAAAGGAGAGGTTTGGTGTATTAACTCGTAGAAAGCATCTTTAAAAGAAAGGAAACATGTTCCCTTTGTCATCTTCTTTGTTCCTTCTTCCACCTACTGTCTGGAGCACAGATGTGAGGGCTCCAACTCTCACTGCCACCTAGGACCATGGCAAGCCCACCCTAGAAATGGTGAACTTTAAGAAAACCAGGTTGCTGACAACTTTGTAGGACACATACGAGCTCTGAATGACCTACCTCCTGAATTCTCATGTGACAGAAACACTTTTTAACCCTTTTCAAGCCACTGTTGTTTCACACTTTTTCATAAGTAGCCAGTCATAATTCTGACATTAAAAGAGTGCTAAGAACCTATTCTGATAGCCAGGAAGCATAGGCTAAAACACTTGATTTATATAATCTGAATAAAAACCACATCTTTTTGACAAAGTGACAGTTCAGCATTCATAAAAGACTTAAAAAATTCTAGGTTTTCTTTATAATCTTTGGGAGGTTTTGTATAAAATAGGTTTGATGGGAAGTTTGTTTGGTGAATCACATTGATTGTCTTCACTTTTGCTACTTATGATCAAATTTAGTCTTATTATTTCACAGGATCCTTTCCAGTAGATAAAAAAATATTTCCCCCTGAGGTTCGTAAGAATTTTTCCAATGAATGTAAACTTCAGTTAATATAAGTGATTTTCCAAAGAGCAGTCAAAAGACCTGATACTGTCATAAATAAACTAGAACATGTTGTTCTTAACTGGGGATGGAATTCATGCTGAGGCTTTGGGAGAGCTGTTCATGCTTATGACTGCATGCAACAAAATTTTTTTAGTATGCAGTACCCTGGGGAAAGTGTCCCACTTTTTATCAGATAATCAGAGGGATCCTTACAAAAAAGGCTGAAGGACAATTGCGCTGGAGCATGTTTGTTCATGAAATGCTCACTTCTCAGGAATAATGACAATTGTTCTGGGGATATGGACAAATCCTATTTAAATATGTCAAACTCCTCTTTTGTACTTAGGGAGAGAGTGCAAGAATGTTATAAATGGCCAAAAATTATAAATTGAGGAATGATAAAATACAGGCCCAGCTTTTCACAGAAAAGGACATTTCAAATATGTAACAGATTCAACAGGAGTTTCTGAGTGACTGTATTTTACACATACAGTCTACTGTGTAAACAGGCTACAAATTATTTAATTAAGTGATTAACTGTATTCTTCAAAACTATACACTTAGGTGGCCAATTACTGTAATTCCCTCATAATGTTGGTTTAGGTATGGGCCCAGAAGGTACTAGAGAAAAAGTTAAGCATGTGGATTAAAAAAAAAAAAGTTAAGCATGTGGACATGCTTCACAGAGAATAGCATTTCTAAAAGGAGGCTGAATATTTATCACCAAATCATATGGATTTCCTCCTTAAGGTTTATTCTACTTCTAATAAAAATGCTATTTACCAAGGATTTCCAAGAAATTAAAGGAATGGGATCTCAGAGAAACAGCAGTAGAGGAAACTGACAGACTTGATTATGACACAGACAGACGCGGTGATTTGAAGAAGGGGACTAATGGTAACGAAGGTATCATTAATTTATGTACGTTTTAATTTACTTCTGTTTTATTTTGGAAGGAAGTGAAAATATAAAGGCAGTGTGGCTATAATCTGAAATGAAGGGCTTTAAATTTACTAGGATCAAAACCAGATCTACAACATGAACTATTTCACTGAAACTCTTGCCAAGTCCTCATTGTCATCCCTCCCACCCCAGCATCAACAAGAAAGACAGCGTTTCCTCCTTCTGCACTAAGAGCTGCTGGGCTGCCGTGTTTGCCTTCAATAAGCAGGTTCCTCAAAAAGGTACACAGTGGATTCTCTTTATACACGTGATTCTAGGGTGAAACATAAATATACTTCTAGTCATTGGAATAGGAAATGACAGGGGCAATCCTTTCAAGAGAGTAAAACACACACACACACACACACACACACACGGACAGAAGGACGTATGTCAAGATTTCACGTCATCCCTCTGCAGGAGATGCATCAGCAGATGATGGTCTCAAAGCCTTGGGAGAAGACCCGGACTTCAGTGTCAGACCAGGCTTCTTCTGCTTTCTTACCTGATCAAAGCTGCAGAGAGCAGCGTGCAAGTTGGCCAGCATTCCTGTGGGGGGCTCGTTGGTCATCTTGATGGCATTTTCCAGCAGTCCTTGAGGGATGACATGCTCATCGGGTGTAGGCGCAGACTCAGCGCTCATGAAGACCCTGTAATCTCTGTGGCTTCCTTGGCTGAATCTTTCAAGGAGTTTCTCCAAGGTTCCCAGCCACTTGGCTACCAAATGGACGTTCTGAAAAATAATATGGCTTAGAATTCCTGTGAAACTGAAGAATATTACTTAAATGACAGGATTACAACATTTTTCTATACATAAATGTGTTGAAAACTCAGAGAACAATGATTTAAATTTTCCTTTATTATCACACTAGGGAAACATTAAACCAAAACAGAGGTGAATACTGAACACATGAAGTGCTCCAAATCACTACAGGCTGTCTCCGCAACCAAAATCTCCTTCCAACACGCTCACCCACTTCCAACACCCACCAATCATGCCCATGATGGAGTTTCTGATACTTCTCTCTGTTATAGTGCCAACTCAGTTACTGAGACTTACCTAGGTTAGTCTGGTCAAGTATAAAAACAACAAGCTAGAAATGTGCCTGATCACCCACTTCATTGTTTCTGCTGGAAATCTCCTCCACTCAAACTCCTACTCGTAGTATATGACCTCAAAAGGATGTGAGGGATGAACGGCTGGCTGAAAAAGCAAGGAACCACTCTTTGTTAAGATGCTCTGCGTATTCCTAACGTGTTATTTTTCTTGAACCCTAGGGCCGTCAGAAATCACAAAAGAAACAAATGTCACCACCATCACTCTTCGATTTTCAGTTTTCTAACTTAGAAACTTGCTCCTCTCATACCCACTGTGTTCAGCTTGGTAGTTGGTGCCGTGAGAGAAGTATTAAGGCCATGCCCTCTGGGTTTGGAGAAGTCCTCGATATAGTGACTGAAACCTCACCTCCAGGAATGTGTAATTATTTCCAACACAGGAAAACATTTGAGATTATACAGCTACAAACAAATAGAGAATGAAGGCCAACAGGGAAGGGAATAGGAATGTAGACGTCTTTCTTTGAAAGAGTTCTGTTGTAAAAAGAACTACGCTGATCCAGTTCACATTATTAGGTTTTTTTCTCCCCTTGGCAAATGTTGAACAGCAGTAGGTGTCATGGGCTGAACTGTGTCCTCCATATGCATATGTTGAAATCCTAACCCTCAGTGCCACAGAATGTGACTTTGTTTGGAACAAGGTCTTTAAAGAGGATATTAGGCCTAAATGCAGTCGCTGAAGTGGACCTTAATCCAACAGGACTAGTGTCCTTCAAAGAAGAAGAGATTAAGGGACACATGAGATACACACACCAGACCGTGTGAAGACACAGGGAGAAGACAGTCGTCCACGAGCCAAGGAAAGAGACCTAAGAAGAAGCCAGCTCTGCTGGCCCCTGAGCTCAGACTTTCAGCCCCCAGAACCGGAAGGCGCTCAGCTTCTGCCGCTTGCACTGCCCCGTCTGTGACCCTCTGGTGAGGCAGCCCTGGCCACTGTAGCTCCTCCCTCACACGCTGGCTACTGGACTACAAGGAGAGTGCTTCTCACACCTAACCATGCACACGCAAGCAAGCAGGAACAGAAGCACTAATAAAACCTGCTGGGCACACTCAGATATCTTCTAATTCTCTGTCTCATGGACAACAACAGTATCTTACTTGAGAAGTTTCCTTGAAGCAGATGTAAAAATATTCTAGGCAGTGACTTTAGGGTCAGGGAACAGAGAAACCTCCAAGTGAGCCACCACTGAACACAGCACATTTTGGAATCCAGCCTGGGAACCATTCTGGAGGACACTGGTTTTGGGGACTGGAGAGATTCTTTTGCCTATTTGTCCAAGGGCAACAATATTTGTGCAACATTTTTAGCCAACCCACCTATCTTGAAAACTGCCCATTTTGCCCATGAAAAACGATTTTTTTAATCCATTATGTTAGTTCCCAAATCATCCGGTGTGCATCTGAGATAAAGACAGCTCCGGCCTGCTACCTGTGTAGTTTTCTCTGGAGTGTGGGCTTTCGATAAAATGGTGGTAAAATATCCCTAGAGGGGCCACATCTGCTCACAGTAATTGACCACCGTAGAGTCTGGTTAAGAACTCACTCACATGTGCATACATGTCATACGCCTACGCTGATCGCTGATATAAAACAACAGCAAATTCCCATTATGTGGTCTTCTCATTCTCCGAAGTCCTGTTTCTCTTTTAACTGCCAATCAAAGGGATACTAGAAACCTCCAGAAACTGGGACAACCAAAAGCCTGGGATGGTCTCTCCTCTCCTCTATGTGTGGAGAGGAAGAGCAAAACAGTTACACTGCAAGTTACTGGCTCACCACTAAGAGTAAAAATCAAAGGTCTAGAATAGACACCCAAAAGCAGATCCCTCACAAAATAAGGTCTTTTGAGATTTTTTTTTTTGGTGGTAAAACTTACAACTTGCATTTGGGGGGTACGGGCCAACCAGTAGCTCAGCATAGACGTAAAAATAACAGAAACATTTTACTCTGAATACTGCATTCTCCTGAGGAGGGCTGCACCCCTCCCAGTCTCCTGCCAGCCTGAGCTGCTGGGTGCATATGAACTTGCTAAGTTTCTCTTTTGTGGGAAGAGCTCAGTGTCTACCCAGCTGTTGATGCAACAGTTGCTGTTTCTGAAAGAACAAACTCTCTACTGTTGCCTCTGACTCTGCGAGGCTCAGAAGGGGACACGCCATCCCACATCCCTTTACTGAAGTCTCATGTAAGCAGTAGTTTTTTCTCTCCCAGAAGGCTATATTCTTCTTGGACACTGGGCAGGTTCCTCGTGAACACAGTTTTATTTTAAGCAGAAACACAACATTCATCAACCCTGAAAACTGGAGACACTAAAGAAGGCCAATGTCCTATCTGCATGAGGGTGGCAGCACGGGCTAGTGGAAAGAATGTCACTTGCTGCCAAGCAGACTCTGCCACTTTCCCACTGTGTGGCCTTGAGGCTCTCCAGACCACTCTGAGGCTCAGTTTTCTCATCTCTATAACGGGATAACAATACCTACCCTTGCAGCTCTGCTGTAATGATTAGAGACAAACTGCCTAGTAGATACTCTGGCAAACAAATGAGAAACTTTGGGATCACTGTGCTGCAAATCAAACGGCCATTTCTGAGAAAGCTGGTGTGCCCTACTGTAGAAGGAGTCAGCTCGGCTCCTAGGTATCCCCTAAAGCTTGCTTGGGCGCCACTGGTTCCTGGGTTCTTGCTAGTGCAAACTAAAGAATGTTGCTCACCAACTGGCTCTGTGAGAATGAAGTCATTCACCACTGCAGTTGCTGACCTTCAACACACCCTGAAAGGAGTTCAGGGCCGAGATCAAGAATGATTTGTTCTGTGCTCTGGGAAAATCTGGCAGAACAAGCTTTCAGATGGTTAGGTATTCTTAGGACAAAATTTTATGAACCCAATTTCTTGCATCTTCTCATACCTAAAAAAGCACTTAAATTATTAATGGAGACATCTACTCCTCATGACTAGCAGCAACCTTCTACTGAGTGCTTGACTGCATGTACCCGCTTCACCAAAATCACAGTTATACTGCCCTCCCCCATTGGAGCAGTTCCTCAGAGCTACGTGAGAGGCTGTCTCCCGGGCTATAGTCCTCAGTAAGCCCCAAATAAAACTGAACCCACAGCTTTCACATTGTGCGTCCCCCCACCTCCCCCAGTGGACACTAGAATCTCCAGCCAAAGGAACCATCCTGGAGGACACTGGGTTGCAGAATCATAGACCCGTATAATGCTAGCCCTAGCAGGGGAAAAGGGATTATATACTCAACTCTTAATTTATAAGCAAGGGGAATGTTACACAACTAGCCAGGGGCACAATCAGAGTTACAGGAGACAGTGAGACAGGAAAAAACACTCTTGCAACTTTAAAGCAACACACAAATCAGAAATACTATGATGGCGGCACTGGTATTCTATACAAGCCTGTTTGTCCACAAGCACCAGACATCTGTAAGACAGGAGAATGATGGGGCTCCCTCTAATGTTTTACATTTTAAAGCACAATGGTTAGAAAACTCTTCAAAAGATGGTAGCCATCCTTGTCAGCAGAGCTCCTTGTCACCCTTGGAGGTGTCATGATGCTGGGAGAGCCGCCAGGACTTTGTAGGTCACCAGGTGTTACGTGAAAGGATCATTCCCATTGGGCAGGGCAGCTCTGCACTGCTCATCCATGTTCACTTCCAGTGTTTTCCATGAAAACACAATACTCACCTGGAGTATGACCCAGTGTCCTCCTTTGGAAGCTTTCTCCAGTGCCATTTCTGCCACCATCTCTTGGCCTTGTCCTAGAGACACGTTGTGGAATTTTCCCGAGTCACTTGTAAATCCAAGTCTTTTGCCTATGGGAGGACACAACACAGTGAGAGGAAAAGTGAGTCACAGAGAGGTGAGAAGAGTCTGGGACTGTGTGGTCCAATGTCCATCTGTGGTTCCTGCTGCTACTCTTACCAAGGCTTTTGCCCCATAATCACACTCCTACCCTTCCCTCAGATAGAAACCAGTTACTCTTATTTAAGTTTCAGGAGGAAGCTGCAAAGAGAGAAAAACAAGAACTGGTTAGAACTAACTAGGTCCCAGATGGTGGAAGATTTGACTTCCAGTGGATCTTGAGGGTCATTATACGCTCACTGTAGTACATTAGCACGGTAAGTGACACAGCCCCCAGAGCCACGGCAGTTGACAATCACCATGACAACAGGCAGTTGACAATCACCATGACAACAACCAGAAAAGCTCATATGAGGACTGAAAAGGGGAGATGCATCAGTTCCAGGTTCAAACCACACTCCTGTTCTCAGATAACTTATGAATATTCCTCCCCCTCTTTCCAAATCCCTCCCTATTACCTCCATCCTCCTATATGTTTGGTGTCTCTTCCCAAATTGGATTGAGAAGTTGACTTGCAATCTAGGTTCCCGTTTCTCCATTCTTTGACCACTGAGTAAAGCTTGTGCTGTTCCAGTCTCAGCACTGGTTTCCTTATCAGCTGCACAAATCCGACTGGGAAAAAAACCTCCCTGGCCGAGACAAGGGGTCTCACCCGAGGCCAGGACCCAGGCGTGGGTCTGGTCAACAACTCAGTTACACTACCTTCTAGGTCACTTTCCCGAAGAATCCAAACTACACCTCTGGTGTTTCAACAAGCACCATTTCAAGCTCTCAACAGCTGCCTCCTTGTAAGCATTAGCAAAGCCTGTGGAAATCAGTTCCTCTGGTTTCATGGTAAGAAAGCTTTTGACATTTTGACAGACAGCAGGCATTGTTGTTGAGCTTCATAAACTCTTGCAGGAGTAGCAAAGCATTGCCCTCATAAAAAGGAGCAACGTGTGGTAGATACCACATCAGCTTTTGACCGGATTGGCTCATTGGGGAAACGCAGGAGCCTCTCACCTTGTGAGGCTGTGCTTGAATCCAGCACAGTCAGGTCACAGCTCTATTAACCTGGAATTCTCCGTGCAGGCCGTGGGGAATACTAATCCAAAGCACAAAGCGACAGTGCCCGGCACAATCGAATAGACTTGCTCTAATGACCATTATTTAGACACAGGGGGCACAAGATTACAAGAGCATGGAGAAAATTGCCCTCCGGCCCCATCTAGTCAAAAGGTAGAAAATAGTACAAAAGAAGCATGCATTATGCCAACCAGAGGAATGTTCCATTTAAGCATTTCTTCAGACTAGAGTGTTATTAACCTTACATTTCCCATACACTCACTCTCCAACAAATGAGAAAGAAAGGAAAAGGAAAAACACTAAGATAACTGTGAAATGGAAGGAAGGTGGGGTTGGCATTGGGTGAGGGGGAGGGCTGCATGGCCGGCCTCAGCCTCCTGGCCACTCACCAAGGACCTCGAGGTCTTTAAGGGCATCTACCCCTGGAGACAGGATGAAGAACACTGGGGTGGCTGGGCTGCTTTCTTCAAATGCTTTAGCCAAGTCCAGTCTGGTCCTTTCCACATACTTTGCACCCAGTTTTTCCTCCACAAAATTCCTGTGAAAAAAGAATAATGCCAAAGACACGTTCAGTGCCCTTGACCTTGAAAAGTAACACAACTTGAATCAGCTTACACCACAGGCACGGGAAGGAAGTAAACCATGTTTATGTTTTTTCTATGGGATGTTTTGTAAGAATGACAATATGAATCCAGCTAGATTTATGCAGTAGAGTCAGTGAAATTCCTCCTTGCTTTAGAAGCCTTGAAAATCATAAGACTACATTCCATTTTGGGGGGCTACTGAGAACCCCCTCTGAGTACCATCAGCTGCCTGCACATGGTTTTGTATCCCCCAAATCCCCTGCCGCAGCGCCCATTACTTATTAACAGTTCATTAGATTTGCCACGGTGCAATTTTCCAGCCTGTTGGGCTTCTCATGAATACACAAATGCTTTTTGGGGTGTTTCTAACACAGGGAAGCTCAATTAAGCAGGGATTATTTTCCAGCAGCATCAGATTTAGCAGAAAGCAAGTACTACTAAGCAGAATTAACTTGTAAAGTAGGGTGCGGCAGAGGTTTCTACAAAGGGAAAATTGGTGGAATTAGACAAAGCGAAGGAGAAAAAAAACCCCTGAGGCAAATGAATACTATTGAGAGAAGCAACGATAGGGAAGGAAGTTGAGAACTCTCTGGCTGGTGAATTCAAATTAGACCACAACTCCTGTGACTTAAACAGCATATTACCATTTAAAAGCCAAAAGGGCAAAGAAAAAGGACTCTTAAACCAAGATGCAGACAGGGGTTTCTGCTTTTAAACTGCATTGGTCGTAAAGTTATAGGACTATGAGCTTCTCCATGAAAGGAATCCATTTTTTGTTTGATGGGCAAAATCTTCGGAGCAAAAATGCCACCACGAAATAAAGCCAATGGGAAATATGCTGGGATAACGCATGTCCCTGACCTCTGAAGGCACCCATCTCTCTTCCTAGAACATTTCCATAGATTTCCTGTTCCCCTTACTGACTGCAGAATTAAGCTCTGCAGGAAAGATGTGCTAAGTCTGCCTAGAGACGAGCACAGTTTAATGTTTTACAAATTTTACGAATAGTACTGATTACAGTATCAAAATTTGTGCAGAATAACTTCATTAACATGGACTGTAAATGCCTCCTCCAGATACTCCTAGTCCCTAAGACTAAGTTTCCTCTAGGTTACCTTGCATTTCTGAAAATGCTAACTGTCCCCTACCTGAGAGCGTATGTCATTCTGTCAGGGCGCATTGCTCTCAAAATAATCAGCTTCTGGATTAAACTTTTCTTCTTCCATTCTTGCGGTAACTTTTCTTTTTCTGGGCACTCGGATTCTGCCCACTTCCTCCACAGCTTGGCAGATCCTTCCACATCTCGGTCTATGCCACAAAATTCTTCCATGAGGGCTACCGCCTGTAATACAGTAGGGAACAGATGGGAATAGTGGGTACCATAGCTGAGAGTTGGAGATAACAGACCTGTGGCTGTATCCTGTGCAAACAGTGGTGCTGGGTAGCCTTCATTTCCTCTCCAGGTTGACTCTGTACCCTTTTCTGCCCTGCAAAGAGGGTGATCTCTTAGTATGACTTGAACAAAGCTGCCTGACTGTGTTTGACCAAGAGGAAGCCCTGGCAAGAGACTGGAGAGTGGAGAAGAGAGACCATGCTGTCTCATCCCCAGGTCTTTCCTGTGGTGACAGTTTGACAGTGGCTGTTTCTTCACCAATGCCACAGTTTCTATGGGTTGGCTCTCTCGCTTGGCTTCACTTCTCAAGTAGTTTCTGTAACTACTCCTTTCCCATCCCCACCCCTCATCTTTCTTCTCATACTACGAAAATACACTTTGTTAAAATTTTTAAAAATCACACTTTGTGCCATTTGTCTTCTGCTGAGACCTTGACTGATACAAAAATTGAACTTGAATTTGTAATTCTAAAGTAACGTCTAATTAAAAATTCCGTTTGAAAAATAAGATCTAGACATACTATGAAAATAAGGAATAACAGTTATTTTCAATACACAGAGGTGTTTCCATCTTAGAAAAAAGAGTAGGGCAAAGCTTAGCATATTACAAGAATCCCAGGAATTCCAAAGCCTGAGAGAATAACCTTTTACTAGGATTTTCTGACAGAAAGATGAAATAAAGATGGATAACTGGAGGTGAAGAATGCTTTAACTTTTTTCTCTACAGCATTCTGTTCTGCTTACACATTTTACAATGATAATAAATTACTATACTGTTGTATAAATTAACAAAACTATTTTGTATTTTGCATAAATTAACAAAACTATTTTTGTTGTATAAATTAACAAAACAAGCGGAGAAATATAAAAAGAAAAACGAAACAAAGAAATTAGATTCAGGTCAACTGAGAAAAAAAAAACATTTATATTTCTTGACTTTACCCAAAGGTCCTGTGGATTATACATATTTATTAACAATTTTCCCACCCATAAATAGGTCAAAAGTTCCTTTACTTCCAAATAAGAAAAGGGAACACTAGAACACTGTTGGTGAAAATGTAAATTGGTGCAGCCACTATGGAAAAGAGCATGGAAGTTCCTCAAGAAATTAAAAATAGCATATATCTACAACTGAAATATCACCTGTTTCTTTTTTAAACTACATTTCTACATCTGAGAGAACTGAGATGTTAAATAAGATTTGGGAACTGAAAAATCACGTTCCTCACATACCTTAATAGCGCTCCATGACTGCGTAGTTAGGAAGTCAACCGGACTTGGGTACGTGTGCTCCACTGTGAATCGAAGCAGGAAATCCAATTCAAGAGGATCTATTTCTTTTCTTTTCAACAAAATCTTGAAAGTACACAAAATTGAAGAATGTCATTTGGTTTACATCAAAAATCAAGGAAGCAGTCACCACTTAACAGATGATTAAACAGGTAGAACTAAGTCTTCTGAGAATTCCTATAGATATATATCTGTTCTATAGTTGAAATAAAGAACCGTGGATGATGCTAACAATCTTAAAATCTTGATTAGAAGTCTAACAGCAAATTATGAAGGCTGGCTTATTCCAATTTTAATACTTACACCTATTAGCAGCATATCTGAAATATGCGTTCATATTTAGCCTTCTGCTGTTAGAGCAAACTCATCTTAAAGCTTGTTATACAAGTTGAGAAAGCCTCAGATGACAATGGACTGAACTACTAAACAGAAGAGCTAGGACTATAAGCTAGTCCCACTATGGACATTACATTCAATAAACTAAGATACATGAGAGATTTTTCTTATATGTGAGATTATATTGAGAAAAACAGGAAGTTACTGTTTTACGGATACAACTAAACAAACACATCATGAACTGAAACAAACTTTAGACATTCTGGCTACAGAACTGATAAAAAGTCCATAGAACATTCTGGGGGGACACAAATCAAATATTCCTAATTTCCACACAAAACCTGTAACACGTTATAAAGTTAAGCTGGTAAAACGTTTGCAGTTTACACTGTTTAAAAGTTCTAGATATTTTCAAAATGCATACATGCATCAAAATATTATTTTATTGGATAATTAATTTTTCTTAATTCAACTTCAACAAGGAATTTTCCACATATATATGAAGCTTTGATTTATGTAGATTGTCAAGATTTCAGACAGATTATAATTTATCTACAGCTTCTAAAAGGAAGCTTTAAATAGATGTGCATGCATGTGTCTGCAAGTCACGTGCTATCATGACTGTTTATGAACAACATGTATGAACACAAACACTTCAGCAAAAACCAAAACCAATCTGATTTAAAAATGGGCAGGAGAATTGAATAGATAGTCTTCCAGAGAAGACATTCAAATGGCTGACAGATACATGAAAAGGTGCTGAACATCACTAATCATCAGGGAAATGGCAGGTCCAAACCACAGTGAAATATCACCTCACACCTGTTAGGATAGCTGTTAGCCAAAAAAATGAGATGACAAATGCTGGCAAGGATGTGGAGAAAAGGGAACCCTTGTGTGCTGTTGTTGGGAATGCACTTTACATCTGGTATGGCCACTATGGAAAACGGTAGGGATGTTCCTCAAAAAATTCAAAACAGAACTATCATAGGCTCTAGTAATTTCACTTCTGGGTATATATCCAAAGGAAATGAAACCACTATTTCAAAAATGTATCTATGCTCTCATATTCAATGCATTACTTACAATAGCCAAGACATAAAAACCGCATAAGTGTCCATCTATGGATGAATGGGTAAAGAAAATGTGATATATATGTGTGCGTGTATATACTGTACACAAACACACACACACACATATAAACAGTGGAAGATTATTCAGCCATAGAAAAGAAGGACATCTTGCCATTTGTGACAACAAGGATGGACCTTGAGAGCATTATGCTAAGGAAGATAAGTCATACAGAGATAGATAAACACTGTATGATCTCACTTTTATGTGGAATCTAAAAAAAAAAGGAACTCATAGATACAGAGAACAAATTGGTAGTTGCCAGAGGTGGGTGGAAAAATGGCTGAAGGTAGTCAAAAGGTGTAAGATTCCAGTTATAAGATAAATAAGTCCTGGGGCTGTAACGTACAGCAGGGCGACTGTAGTTAACACCACTGTATCGTATATTTGCAAGTTGCTAAGAAGGTAAATCTTTAAAGTTCCTACTATGAGAAAAAAATTTGTAACTGTCTGAGGTGATGGATGTTGACTCCATTTACTGTGTAATCACTTCACAACATATACATTCATAAAATCATTACATTGAACACGTCGGACTAATACAATGTTATGTGTCAATTACATCTCAATAAAACTGGGAAAAATTAAAAACAAACATTTTATTTTGTAATGCATTACTTCTGTTTATCACATACATTATAAAATGATTACACCCATATATTCATTTTTTAACACAAAGGAATCTCTTAATATCAAAACTACTGAAAGAGAAGTGATAGTTTAATCACTATTAATAGCAGGTATTTATTTATTTATTTATATTTATTTTATTATTATATTTATTTTTAAGTAAAATTATTGCTAATAAAATATTATTAATTAAAACATCCTTATTAAAAATAACTATTATTTATCCTTTTTAATGGAGGTACTGAGGACTGAACCCAGGACCTCATATGTGCTAAGCGTGCACTGAGCTACACCCCTGTCCCCAACAGCAGGTATTTTAAAATGCCTTCTTTGGGCAAGGCACTTTGGAGATCACAAAATACATGCGACATCCTTCATCACAATCTGAACTAACAGAAAAAGTTACACAGTAAGTGAAATAATAAAAGGACCACATGCTTATTTCATCAAGGAATGTGGCTCTCAATGTTTTTTTCTTATCGTGGGCACGTTACACAAAATCTCTTGCAGAAGTCCCCATCAAGGAGAGAAAAAGGGTAGTAGGTCTCACTGAAGGTGGGACTGTGAAACTTGGAGCTCTTTTCACCCGTTCAATGTTTTTTAAAGGGGCTCTGAAAGCCTCCTAGGACCCCTCAGATCTGGAACCCTAACCTTGAGATTCTTTCCAAGAAACTCCCTAGTAGTACCTGGGATGTCTGAACAGGACCCAGGAAGGCGAGGAGAATGTCTCAGTGATCTGATTTTTAGGGTGACAGATGATGTGGTTGCTGAAAGGACAAACACACCCAAACTGCTGCACCAGGACCTCTGGGACAATCCGACTCTCCTCACGCCACCGAGGGCTTCCAAAAAAGGTGCTTGCACTTCCCTTCAGCAGAAGTGCATAATAAATAGAGATGTGTGACTTTGGTCCTGGGGATGCTTTCGAGTGACTGATTTCCTCACCTGAAAAGCCATCTGGGACAGGAAGGTGAGTTTGTCCTTCTCAAACAGCGCCTGGCTGGTGTGGAGGAAGACGGCGTGAGTTATGCTCTCCATCAGGACTGAGATGCGCCCCTGCGTGTCATCCACCTTGTCAGCCTGCTCCATGGCTCTGTGGAACAGCATGTTGAAAGCCTGGGAAATTAAAGTCATCTAACGTTAAAAGGTGAACACTGATGGCTGGAGGTCCAGGTAGTCCCAGTCACACAGGGCTACACTTTATCCATGGGGAGAGAGAATAGGACGGGGTTTTAACGAGGATTACATGAGCTCTTACAATAGCTCCTGGCACATGGTAAGTGCTCACTGAAAGTTTGCTGCCATTATTAGTATTTTTAACATTATTTCATAAAATCTAACCTCATTTCCTCCCTAGCCAACTGAGTTGTATTGTCCTCTTTCTTATTCATGCACTTTTAAAATATATATTTTTTAATTGTGGTAAAACACACAAAATGTTTTCCAAAATATTTTCTTCTTGAAAAACACTGTTAAATAACAACTCACTAAAAAAACTCATTTCATAATAACTTCCTAGTTCCTCTCCCCCAACCCTTGGCAATCATCATGTTACATTTTGTTTCTATGAGTTTGACAACTACTCTAGATCCCTCATATAGTGGAATTATACAGTATTTGTCTTACTTTTTTAATTTTGGTTTTTTTTTTTCAGTTTTTTGTTTTTGGAGGGGGGAGGTAATTAGGTTTATTCATTTATTTATTGTTAATGGAGGAACTGGGGATTGAACTCAAGGCCTCATGCATGCTAAGCACTCATCCCGCTGCTAAGCTATACCCTCCTCCCCAGTATTTGTCTTATTGTGACTGGCTTGTTTCACTTAATTTAATGTCCTCAAGGTTCATCTATGTTGTAGCATGTGTCAGGATTTCCTTCTTTTTTAAGGCTAAATAATATTCCATTGTATGTACATAGCACATTTTGTCTGTTCACCCACTAATGGACATTTGGGTTGCTTCCACCTTTTGTTTATTGTGAATAATGCTGCTTTGAACATGGGTGTACAAATATCTCTTTGAGACCATATTTCAATTCTTTTGGGTAAATGTCCAAAAGTGGTAATTGCTGAATGATATGGCAATTTTTTGAGGAACTATCATATTGTCTTTCTAAGTAACTGTTCTGTTTTACAATCTTCCCAACAGTGCACAACAGTTCCAAATTCTCCTTGTCATTGGCAATACTTATTTTCTGTTTTTTTTTTAATAGTGTAGCTATCCTAACAGGTGTGAAATGGTATTTCATTATGAATTTGATTTGCATTTTCCTAAGAATTAGTGATGTTGAGCATCTTTTCAAATGCTGGTGGTCGTTTGTATATCGTCTTTGGAGAAAAGTCCAGTCAAGTTGTCTGCCCATTTTTTAACAGGTTATTTGAGGTTTTTTTTTTCTTTTTTGCTGTTGTTGTTCACTTTGTGATCCCCTTTGATTATCTCTTTACTTTTAAAATCACTCTTAATATTTGTTTATTACTCTATTCCACACCTTAGTAATAACTGGTCTGTATTTTTACATATATCTCTATATGTTTAAATATATAGCTAATATATCCTAATATATAATATGTAAAAATATATATCTATATAATATAGATTATATAAATATATTATAAAATATTATAGATTATGTATTATAGATAAATATATATCTAAAATAGATATACATAAAATATGAATTTTTTTGACTGACAGACAGGGACCAGAGACCACAGACTGATTTGCTTTGAATCATGTATATCTGAGTGCAAGTAAAACCCTAAAATGAGAAGACAGAGTAAATACTGATAAGAAGGTATTAACAAAGACTCATTTGATGTTTACATATTAAAATCAGTTTTTGACTTACACACGATAAAATATACCCACTTAGCATACAGTTCAAGGAGTTTTGACAAATGTATATACTTTAGTGACAATGAGTGCAATCAATATGTAGAATCTTTCTAGTCAAGTCATCCCAAAAGTTCTCCTGTGCCTCTTCACAGTCCATTTCTACATCCATCCCCACTCCTGCCCACTGCTGAACTGTTTCTGTCACAATAGATTCATTTCAGCGTCATAGAATGTGTACTTGTCGGTGCCTCGCTTCTTCTCAACATGACTTTGTGATATATCAGTGTTGTGTGCATCAGTAGTTCCTACTTTTATACTGTGAGTAATATGCCACTGTATGCAGAAATCAAACTGTGTGTCCATTCACTTCTTAGTCCTTTGGGTTGTTTCCAAATTTGGGCTATTATGAATAAAATATATCTATGAACATACATGAACAAGTTTTTGAGTGGACATATGTTTTCATTTCCCTTGGGTAAACACCTAGGGTGAAAACTTAGGATCATTTTGTAAGTGTAGGTATAACTGTATAAGAAAACTGCCCAAAATCAGTCAACCATACATATGTGGGTCTACTTGTGGACTCTCTATTCTGTTCCATTGATTGATGTATTTTTCTTTAGATAAATTAGTAGTAAGTCTTGACATCACGTACTGTAAGTCTTACAAATTTGTTTCTCTTTTCAAAATTATATAGTTATTTTAAATCCTTTGCATTTCTACACAAATTTTAGAATCAGTTTGCCAGTTTCTGCCAAATAAATCTTCCAGGATTTTGACTGAAGCTGAATTAAATCTATAGATTAATTTGGAGAGAACTGGTATCTTCATAACAGGGATTGTTCCAAACCGTAAACATGGTCTCTCTCTCCACTTAGTTAGACCTTCTTTAATCTTTTTCAACAATGTTTTGTAGCTTTTAGTATACAGATCTTGTATTTGTTTTGTTAAAATTATCCCTAAGAGTTTCATGATTTTAGAAGTTACTGTAAGTAGTATTGACTTTTTAATTTTATTTTCCAACTGTTTGTTCCTCATATACAGAAACACAATGAATTCTGTATATTGACTTCATATCCTGCGATCATGCTAAAAACTCACTTCTTAGTCCTAGTAGCTTTTTTGGGTAGATTTCTTATAATTTTCTACATACATGGTCAGGTGATCTGTGGGAAAAAACAATTTTCTTTCTTTATAAATTTCTGGGCCTTTTATTGTATTATTGCACTGGCTATAACTCCAGTGCAGTGTTGACTAGAAGACATCCTTGCTTTGTTCCTGATCTTAGAGGAAAGCATTCAATTTTCAACATTCAGTATAATGTTAGCTGGAAATTTTTATAGATGCCCTTTATCACATAGATAAGTCACCATCTACTTCGAGTTTGCTCAGGATTGTTTTCTACACTAGGTGTTAAAATTTGTTAAGTTCTTTGTCCACACCCATTGAAATTGTTATATGGTTTTTGTCTTTTATTCTATTAATATGAAGAATTACATTGTATGATTTTTTAATGTTTAACCAACTTGCATTCCTGGCATAAATTCCACTTGGGCATAATAGGTTGTGCTTTTTAAATGGGGCTGGATCCAATTTGCCAATCTTGTGTTTAGTCGTTTTTAAAAACGCTCATGATGGGAGTTGCTCTGTAGTTTACATGAAATACCTTAGTCTAGTTTGGTACATGTGCAGTCCTGAGCTATTTTATTATCCACCTCCTACACTGTGGCTGTCCTAAAGTCCAGCCCCACTGTGCTTCTCAGAATTTCTGCACTTGTTCCATCTTGATTCTTTCTCTTTATTATGCCCACATCCAATCCACCTCCAAGAGCCAATTATTCTAGCTTCAAATCCTAAGTCTATTCACGTCTCCCTGAGTCTTTTGCCATCACCTCAGTCATCTGCCTACAACCTTTCAATGGCTTCTATCTGCACACATGCTATAATCCAAACTCCCGGCACAGCCTATGAGACCTCGTATGATCTAGAACCTCCTACCTCTCAGGACTCACGTGTTGCCATCTTCTCCCTTACTCATTACCCTCCAGTCACATAGATTCATTCACTACCTCTAATCTCAAAAACTTATTCATGTCTCATACATCCTTATTACCCCCAAACACTCCTTTCATGGCTAAATCCTACTTAGCCTTCAGGAATCAGCTACAATCTCACTTCCTCCAAGAGGTCTTCCCTGAGCCCCCAGTAAAACAGCCCTTCCATCCCTATGATTCTCTCTTATGGTACCTATCACTTCTACATACACACACACACACACACATCCATATATCCCCACTCATATCTGTGTTTTTCCAAATGGTGCACTCAGTAACCAGTCTAGCATCTGGCACTATGATTGACTGCAATAGCTATTTAAGAACTGACTGACTGACTGAATGAATACTGCCCAGAGGCAGAACCTTACAAAGAGAAGAGCAGAGGCTTTGGAATCAGTCATAGGTTCAAATCTTGACTCTTCCAATTATAAAACGTGAGTGCTTCAGCAATATATTTAAAAATTCAAACTGCTAGTTTTTTAAATAGGGATAAAATAATACACTTCATTGAGATATTTCAGGCATAAGAATGAACCAAAGTATGAAAGTGCCTTGCATATAACAAGGGCTTAATCAAGAGTTATTCTCACCTTTTATCTATATCAAAATAAAACAGGGAATCCTTTTCTAAGACACCCACACTGTCACAAATAAGGTATAGGAGCTTCAAGGACAATTTCCTTATTTTTTATAAACTCCTTACCACTCTGTTTAAAAACAACTACGTATTATGATGTCACAAAATTTAATTATCTCAAAGCCTTATTGAAAATTATAAGTGAAAATTATTGAGAAAGTGAGGATATTGTTTACTTGTTTGTTTTTTGTTTTGTTTTTTGCTAGCCAGATCCTCATGACTCTTTACTGGATGCACCAACTGCTTAAAAATAAATTCTAAACTTCCAGAAACAAGCTGAATTCCTGATGTTAACATTTTTCCTTAGCTTAGTCGCCATTACCTTCAAAGAGAATTGATAGATGGGGTTGATTTTCCTGAGGTCATTAATAACAAAATAGAGAAGAGATGCTCTTGCTGCCACTGGTCTGTAACATTCTCGGGCCTCGTTGATTTTCCTTTCATTTTCTTTGGCTTCAGTCACCTACAGTGGGATCAAACAACATAGGTAACTTACTCTTCATGTTCTCTATATGATGGAAGTGACATATCTGAAATGAGAAATGAGTTGTATTAGAATAGATAACACGTATGGCATCTATGTGCTTGAGACTTTCTAAGAGGATTAAATTCTTATTTTAAAATAATTTTTTTTTACAAGCTGAGTTTCAAATGAGAATGGACATAACTCGAGCTATATTAAGGTTACCAAGTAAACAAATCCGATTGCTTTTGGTTCTGCAGAATTTATTCTGAGTAATGTCACCTTCCTGCCTCCCCTCTCTCTTTCAGGGGTTAATAACCCAGCTGTATCACCTCCCAGGGATAGCTCTTAAAAGTCTGCTGGGTCGATTCAGTGCCAACAACTTTATTAGTCAACAAGGTATACGAAAGCAGCCAAGGTCAATAAAATATCCAATAGCTGTGCTTACGAAAAAGCCTTCTATATGAAGACTCTCATGAGTGTCTAATTCTGACTTTGCACCAGATCATCCATATGCTCATATATTTCCATTTAGTTTATCTTTGCATTAGCCTCTGGGTACATTCAGAGAGGTAATTAAACACACACACCATCATCAACCAACATATTCATTTTAATTCAAGACAGAAATATTTATTTCTTCTCTCTAGGACTACTGCTGGTCTTAAAGTTTTATAAGATACAGTATTTATTCAACCTTTTAAAAATAAACTTGATTCATCCTATTTGTATATAAAAGGAAATAAAGAAAATGTACAGCAGAGAGGGAAGTCCCTACATGGCAATATATTAGGAAGATAGGAAGAGACATCTTAAGAGACAATTAGAAGTTAACTTCAAAGCTAAGACCTAATTTACTTAATTGCTCTAATCTTTACCATCTTAGGAGCCACTAGAATTCACTCACTTAAAGGGAGAGAGTAATTTGGGATTCCACTTCCTTGCTTAACTTAAGACAAATATATTGGATGTGTGGTGACACAGCCCTGGCTGGGTAATTAATAGATTACTTAGTAATGAGGCTATCCCAGAAAGCAAAAAAAGGTTCCTCTCATTTTGAAACAACAGAATTTTAAGGGTTAGCGGCCACCTGTGGAAGTCCAAAGTGCATGCACAAGGCATCTGAGACCCATGTTGGATGTTCAGCAGGAAGTCCACTAAATGAAATTTTTTCTGGCTTTTAGGAAACGTCACTTTCCTAGAGTGAATAACGCATTTGAGCACAGCAGCAGATCACCCCTTGCTCAGTCTCCCAGCACTAAGGCCTGTAAACAAAACTTTAGCTCTAAGTATTTCTGTGCAACGTACAAGAGACCAGGAAACCTGCGGTGAGACTGTAGGATGTCAGTCTGCCAGAGCTGGATGCTAAGCCTTTTTAGATTCTAGACCCTATAAGACAGCAGGGCTCAATTTTCTCCAAATTTAGTCACTCAGAAAAAAATAATAGCCCGACAGAGTCCACTTTGAATGACTGGGTCTTTGTTGAATTAGGAGAAGCACAAATTCAGTCATCTCTGTCTCCGTTCAGAACCCCGCACTTTTTAAGGGCGGTTTATTAAAAGACCTGAATTCCACAGAGTCCGTCCTCTTAGAGAAAGGGCCAAGTTTAATTACGCCTTCACCCCAGCACTTCATTCCATTAGAGCACTGAGACCTGCGGGGAGCCTTTGCCTTCTCCTACCTTGTGCTCTATCTCGGCCGCGGTGGCCTTTGTTGCCTCCAGTCTCTCTACCAGCTTGGTGTCATCGAGAAAGCTCCCCTCTGCCGCAGAAAGACGCAGAAGAAGGTCGTCCTCCAGGTGCTTCAGCTCTATCTTAAAGTCATTTTGGTGCTTCGTCAAAACCAACTAACACAAACAAAAAGAAGTGTCTGAAATGGTGGTTAATTCATGTTTTTAAGCATGAATGGATGAATTCTTCATCCATTTCATGGAAATCATCCAGAATAAAACACACTTAGCATTAAAGCCATACACATACTTTTAAAAAATTCAGAAGGCATGTTAAGAGTTGGTTGCAATCCAGGGTCCAGAGTATGACCATGTTTCATAATCATTTAATATCATGAACCTGTAGAAAGAAACTTCTGGTTTCTGCTTCAATCTAAAAAATGAGACGTCATTATTCTACTCACAGCAGGGGAAAAAAAAGCTAATTAACAACTCTTCTTACATCTGTCAGAGAACTGAGGTCACAGGGCAACTGTCACCTTGAAAACTGCAGACATGGGTGAACACAGACAATCACAGCTTATCAGGAACATAGTAACTGGCTAATAACTGCAGGCAGAGCTTGAGAGTTAAACTCCAGGGGAACCAGTATTAGGGAGCCTTCCAACTTTCCTGAGTTTACCTTCAGGAGACCCATTAGGTTCTCACAGTGAAGATCAGAAAAAAAAAAATCTACTCCTGCTTTGGGCAGGGAAAAGGGAAAAGCAACCATTTTGAAATACGTCCAAAGGAAATCAACCATTTAAAATATGTCAAGAACTTTCTGTTCACTTAACAAGAGCCTGTCCTCAAGGGAAATTACTTTATTAGAGCCTCATCTGACTTGGGAGGGAATAGGGGTTGACTAAACAGCTCACACAGCGGAGATAAAAACAAATGACAAGAAACTCTTCTGAAGGTCAAAGTCCAGTGACTCAGCCCTACTAGGAAACCCTGAGATTCAACCAGAAGATCATAGGATGCTTCCCATCCACAATGCCTCACTACCACATCACCAGGCTGCAAGAGCTGCCAGACACAGATTCTACTAGAATAGGAGCTTCTAGGGAAATCTAAAGACAAAGGGAGACAAACACAAGGATAGGAGAGGAAACTGAAGACCAGGACACAAAACAGCTACAGCAAACATGACACACAATTTAAATCCCAGCTATATAAACATAAAACTTCACATGAAAGCTCTAGTTACCTCAGTTCAAACTATCCAGTACATCATGTCTGGCTTTCCACAAAAAAGTATAAGGCATGCCAAAAGGCAAAAACAAACAAAAAGCCCCCAAAACAGTCAGAAGAGACAAAGCAAACCTCAGAACAAGACTTGGGTATGGCAGGCATGTTGGGATTATCAGACTGGGTGTGAAAAATAACTATGCTTAATATGCTAAGGGCTCTAATGCAGAAAGTAGATAACATGCAAGACCACACGGACAATGTAAGTAGAGAGATGGAAACTCTACAAAATAATCAAAAGGAAATGCTAGAAATAAAAAACACTAACAGAGATGGAGAATGACTTTGACGGGCTCATCAACACATTGGACACAGTCAAAGAATCAGTGAACTCGAAGATATGTCAACAGAAACTTTCCAAACTGAAAATCAGAGAGAAAAAGAATGAAAAAAAGGGAAAAGAATATCCAAGAATTGTGGGACCATCACAAGAAGCATAACAGACACATAATGGGAATACATGAAGGAGAAGAAAGAAAAAAATGGAGAAGAAACACTGGAGGTAATACTGGTCAAGGAATTTTCCAAAATTAATGACACTCACCAAACTATAGATCGAAGAAGCTTACAATATAATAAGTAGGATAAATAACAAAGCATGACACCTATGCATATCATGTTCAAATGACAGAAAACCAAAAACAAAGAAAAAACCTTGAAAGAAGCCATGGGTCGGGGGCAGGGGAAGAAACCCATTTATGGAGAAAAAAGGGTAAGACTTACATGAAACTTCTCTTGAAAAAACATGCAAACAAGAAAAGAGTAAATATTTAGTTGCTGAAAGAACCGCCCCCTCCAGCCTAGAATTCTGCATCCTGCCAAATTATCCTTCAAAAGTGCAGGATAAATGCTTTTTCAGATAAACAAAACCTGAGAGATTCTGTCACAAGTAAACTTGTCTTAGCAAGAAATTAAAAAAAATTTCCTCAGAGAAGAAAAATGATATAGATCAGAAACCTGGAACTATATAAAGAAAGGAAGAATGTTAGAGAAGAAATAAATGAAGATAAAATATTTTATTTTTCTCACTCCTAATTGAGATAACTATTCAAGATAATAAAGCCAACAATGTATTCAGGGATTATAACTCAGAGGTAAATGAAATGAACAACAACAACGTTATTAGGGATGGGAGGGAGGAAATGAGAATATTCTGTTAAAAGGTGTCACTATCCATGAGGCAGTATAGTGTTGCTTAAAAGTGGATTTAGATTAGCTGCAAATGCATGTAGCAAATGCTAAGGAAACCACTATTAAAAAAAAAGGAGTACAATATATATGCTAAGAAAGGACAGGTACTAGAATCAAAAAATGCTCAATTAAAATTAGAAAAGGCAAAAAGAAAAAAATGCCAAGGAACAAATGCAGTAAATAAAAAACAATGAAAAATATGGTAGATATCAATCCCATTATATCAATAATATCTTTAAATGTGAATTGTCTAAATACATCAATTAAGAGAGACGGACACAGTGGATAAAAAAAGACCCAATCACCTGTTGTCCACAAAAAAAAATTTAAATATAAGACACAGATAGATTAAAGGTAGAGGGATGGAGAAAGATGTACCATATTAACACTAAGCAAAAGAAAGCTGGTGCAGCTATATTAATTTCAGACAAAGTAGACATCAGAATAAGAAAAATTATTAAGAGCAAAGAAAGGCATTACATGATGATGAAAGGGTCAATTCTCTAAGAAAACATAAGAATCCTTAATCTGCATGTGTCTAACAACAGAGTGTCAAAGTACATGAAGCAGAAACTAACTAAACTGCAAGAAGTAGACAAATACACTCCACTGCTGGAGAACTCAAAAGCCTGTATCCATAATTAACAGCTCTGGCAGGCAGAGAAAATTAGTAATGATATAGTTGAATTAAAAAGCACCATCATTCAACTAGATATAATTGATATTTATGGAATACTTCATTCAATAGCATCAGAATATACATTTTTTTCAAGCTCACATAGAATATTTACAAGATAGACCAAATACTTAGCTATACAACACAACATACCTGAAAAACTTCAAAAGAATAGAGATACAAAGTATGCTTTTAGAAGGCAACAAAATTAAGTAAGGAATTGATAACAGAAAGATAGCTAGAAAATTCCCAAAATGTCTGGTAAACAACATACTTCTAAATAGCACAAAAGGAGTCTTGAGAGAAGTTAAAAATATTCTGAAATAAAAATGAAAATGTAACTTATCAAAATGTGGGAGATGCAACAAAAGCAGTGCTTAGAGGGAAATTTATAGCACTGAATACATGTATTAAAAGTGAAAGATCTAAAAATCAATTAAGATCTTAAGAAACTAGTGAAAGAAGAGCAATATACATCTAATGCAAGCAGATAAAAAACATATATATATAAAACTGGTAGAAAAGTAAAATGGTGTAGCCACTCTGAAAACAATCCAGCAGTCCCTCAAATGTTAAACACAGAGTTACCATATGACTGAGCAGCTCTGCTCCTAGGTATGTACCCAAGAAAACTGAAAAATATGTCTGCACAACAACCTGCACAAGAATGTTTATAGCAACATTTAACATCATAGACAAAAAGTGGTAAGAACCTGAATATCCATCAACTGATGAGAGTATAAATAAAATGTGTGTCTATCCAGACAGTGGAATATTATTCAGCCATAAAAATGAACTGACTTGTGCTATAAAATGGATAAACCTTGAAAGCATTAAGTGACAGAAGCCAGACACACAGGCCATATATTTTATGATTCCATTTATATAAAATGTCCAAAATAGGCAAATCTATACAGAAAGAAAGAATAATGGTTGGCAGGGGCTAGCTGGGAGGGACAGGGGAAGTAACAGCTAATGGTATGGGTTTTCTTTCTGAGGTGATCAAAATGTTGTAAAACTGATACTCTATGAATAACGTAAAAAGCACTGAATCACATACTCAAAACGATTATATGAATTATATCTCAAAAAACTTATAAAAATGGGGAGAAATATTATTATTTCTTAATGGACACATCGAGTGGATATGTTTTATTGAAGGAGAACAGCATTTTAGACAAATTTTATTTGTATGCTGCAAAAAAGAATGATGATGACATCAGGAGAAACTGAAATGAGGCTAGGGATATACGGGAACTCTGTAATATCTTTGCAGCTTTTCTGTAAATCAGCTTAAAATTATTCCAAAAAAAACAAAAACATTTTTAAAAACTGCTTCAATTAAATATGTAGGGGGAAAGAGGCAAAATATTGATACTTATGAAGCTGGATAATGATCACATGGAGATTTATAGCTATTTACTGTTGTATGTTTGAAGACAAATTAACCAAACTGTCAAGTCTTTTGAAAAAAAAAGAAAATGTACATGTACGTATGTTACCATGACAAGACTGCTTTCTTATATGGTCACATGGCGTTTCGAAAATGGACATGGAACCTTTCTGTCTTGGTAGTTCGTGTACAAGGCACACACCTGTGGTCCTTTGAACCCTGGGCTGTGGATTGCTCTCCTGGCATGATGCGACGCCTGCCTACAGGGAGACCTGCAAGGACAGCCGTGCCCACTCCACTCTACCTTGCTCCCAGGGCTGTCTTTGCCCTGCTCATTGACTGGTGCAGAAGTAAATCCAAGTGAAAGCAGTCTCAAACTGAGTCTGAACATGCATGAGAACCCCTTGCAGGGTTTGGTAAAGCAGATCGCTGAGGCTACCTCCACAATCTTTCATTTAGCGGGATCTGGGCTGAGATTTGTATTTTAGGAGGTTCCCAGCTAATGCTGCTGTTCCAGGAACCACCATTTGAGAACAACGGAGTTATATTAAGAATGGCAAACCTTTTCCATAAAGGGCCAGATAGCAAATATTTTTGGCTTGGCAGTCCACACAGTCTCTGTTGCAACTACTCACTTCTTCTATTGCCTGCTTCCTACATTTTTAGGCTTACTGTGCTATTTTCTTGTTTACTGCATTCAACACTACACTTAATTATTTTCAGTATTTTTTCTCAGTGTACTTAAAGTCATACATTTGTCTTTAAATGCTAGTCTAACCAGCTGCAAGCCCTTTTTTACTCAACCTTATCCCATTACTCCTCTTTTTCCTGCTTTTCCATTACTCCTCTTTTTCCTGCTTTTGCCCTGAATAAACGGGTCTACTATTATCCCACCTTCCAGGGCACATTCCTGCTTCCCGAGCTCTGCTTTCCATGACTGATGGGCCTCTTTGCTTGTCCTCGTCACCCGCGTCAAACAAGACCCACGGCTAGCCCATCTCCTATCTGGGGCACAATCGTACTCCTCCCTTTGTCAGAAGTATCCTTGAATTGCTCCTTAACTGTTCACATACATCCTTCTTTTCTCAGTTAGGTTGCAAGACCCTGGAGGGCACGATTCTGATTTTACGCACCTGTGTCTGGCACTCTAAGTTGTGCACAGCAGGCACTGAATAAATGCTGGGGGTGATTTCATCATTTTTACCTTAAGTTTCTCCAAATCTGGCCTTTCAATACTGACAACCTCTGCCAGCAGCTGGGCTTCGAGACCATCTTCTGTGACCATGAAATTGAGGAGGGTTGTCTGAGCTTGCAATTCTGGCTTATAGTGAGGATTTGCCAGTTTTGTGTGGAGGATAAGGCGAAAGTTCTGGTTAAATTCACATTCTTTATCTCCAATCTTGATATACCTAAAGAGAATAAAACACAGACATTCAAGAGATTCCCATGAACCATCACTGATATTAAGTGTCATTTCATTCCTGTATCCTGATAAACATACAGGCTGTAAAACCAGGTGTTCATGATTTTTCAGCAACTCTCCATTTTCCTAAAGCATAAGAGGAATAAGAATTATACCTGTATATGGTTACATTTCCTTATATGTAAAATGGTAACAGCAGTACTCACTTCATAGTGTCACTGTAACAATTACATATAATAAATCATATAAAGAACCTGTAACAATACATAATAACTTCTATTATTATGCCTTCTGTGATTAACCTTATATCAAACATTGCTATTATTTTAAGGGCAAAATGAAATATGTTACGTATGCATCTGTATGTACACATGATACATACATACATACAGATTTCATTTTACCCTTAAAGAATAGCAACGTTTAACATAAAGTTAACCACAGAAAGAATAATTTTATATATATATATGTGTGTGTGTGTTGTATTATATATACACTGTGTGTGTGTTATATTATATATACACACACACACTTAAAATTTATCTATAGTAAAATGCATATATACTTCAAGTTACCTCCCAGTACTCTGGGCACTGGCTCAAAAGGAAAGTTGAGGAAGCCTGCTGAGTGGAATGCATGGGCAGCATTCTTTTCTGATCACTGCACTGCACCATCTTAGTTTGGATATATTCCTCCCTTCTGTAGTGTCTCAGAGAAATGCCAGGTCTGTCATGACTTTCCATGATCAGGTTGCATTTCCCCTCATTTGCTTATGCATTTTCACCGGGTTTGGATTCATGTCCCATAAACTTCCATTTTTAATCACTAGCCTATGTCCCCAGATGAATAGAGAATTTAAACACTTTTCCACTTTAAAAATGTAAATTTAAATGAACACTGACTAAATCAAGTCTAGAATTTTCACTGCTGTTGTCTAATGGGACAGCTCACTATGGTAGGGTTAGGAACTGAGGTAAGAAGTCAGTTTAATTTTGAGGTCTGTGGGGTGTAGGGAGGGGACATGAGAATCAAAACAAGCCCCTCGCAGGATGACTAATATATCTGAAAGTCATAGGTGTTCAGGTCTCAGGAAGAGATCCCTGGAGAGGAGGTGGAGAGCTCCGTCTGTAATGGGTCAGGGTATAAGTGTTTCAGGCCTTGTTTGCCACACCCGGCTCTGCCATATATTCTCATTTGTTGCTGACAACTACTGAAAACCATCCTTAGCTCTTGGGCCACTCACTGACATAGAGAACAAACTTACGGCTACCAGGCAGGAAAGAGGGTGGGGAGGGATAAATTGCAAGTTCAGGATTTGCAGATACATACTACTATATATAAAATAAACAACAAGGTCCTACTGTACAGCACAGGGAACTATATTCAATACCTTGTAATGGCCTAGAATGAAAAAGAATATGAAAAGGAATGTCTATATATATAACTGAATCACTATTAACACAGAATTGTAAAATTAATTGCAGAAATTAATACAACATTGTAAACCGACTACTTCAATTTAAAAAAAGAAAAAGAAAAGAAAGCCTCCTTGCCCATTGCCACTCTCAAGGATCCACCAGCTAGCAGTATCAGCATGACTTCCTCTCAAAGCAACAGCAGCTAATCCCACTGGACTTCCCCAGAACACCGAGCTCCAATTTTTCCACTCAGCCACTACACAGAACTGTGCTTCTTTTCCCAGGTTTTCAAGAAAAAACAGTGAGAGATTGGCCAACGTGGAGAATGAGGTTCTGACAATCTTGCTTCTGGGTACAGGTGGCAAAAGCTTTTAACTGGTCAAGTACTTATTTAACCAAACACCTCAGTTAAGCCTCACTCTGTAAGGTGGCTCAAAGACAGTTCAGTGCTTCTAAATGTTCCTTGCACACCTACATATTGCTGTGAGGTATTCTCATACCCCAGTTTTGAAAACCAGAAATCTAACTGCTTGAGGGACAGGTCTGATTTTCTCTGTGAAGAGACAGTTAATTGTGGAACTTCCTACGCTGAGAGGAGAGAGAAGGATGTCTGCCTATAAAGCTGGTTTTATATTTTGCTCTGAAACATTATTTTGTAGGTTGACATTTCCCAGGGATAGTAAATTATCCTCAACTGGGGCGTTTATGATCTATGAAAGGCAAAGACTGCATAATGACTCAGTGGGTTTTATCATCGCTGCTAGGTTAATTTTTGGTTAATCTCCGATCTGGGAAAATTAAACGGATTGCTAGTGCTCTCTCCTGATTTGAAGGATCCAAAAAACAACGGAGTTAACCAGAGGGGTGGGAAAAGCAAACAATCACTGTGTTGTTTCTCTGAAAGACATGAGACCAGAGGTTGTAACTTCCAGAACACAGCAGGCAGCTCCGAATGCTTGAACTTAAATGCCAAGGAGAGGCAGCAGCAGGTGTGAAGGACACTAAAACTTGGAACTCTACTCTCTTAAAGCAGTGGTTCTGGGGCTGGAGCTCCTGCCTCCCAGGAGCAGGACTCTGGCCCCTGACATCGCATCACAGTGAGAAGCAAGTGGGGCAGGGATCTCTGAATCTGGGCTGGAGTTGCTCCCAGAGAGTTTTCATTCATCCCTCCAAGGCAGTGAGCTCCGCCTGCCCCCTCTTCTCACTGGCTGAGAATTGCTGGTTTGGACATGAGAGACTGAGTGTATGAACTCAGAACTGAAATAAAATCATTTTTTTCCCAGTACAGACACCATGATTTAATTGGATAGGACACAGGGTGAGCTGTCAACATTCTGCCTCACCTAGCAGAATTGTCACTTTAGAGCCAGAAGGGACCCTAGAGATCATTCAGCTGATTCCTTTTTATGGACCTGGAGAGTTTACGACTTGTCCAAGGTCATGTAGCTTAGTGGCAGAGCTGGGACTAGAACCTGGGTCTCCAGACTCCTAGTATAAAGTTCATTTCACTGCATCACACTGCAGGCATTAATACGCCGTTTGGATGGTGACAGCTGGTAACCCCAGCCTTTGTCGACCTTTCTGACCATCGATCACAAGAGAGTGTTGAGAGAATATGACTGACTCAGTAACAATCAATGGACACTAGAGAAAAAATATAAAGACACAGCTCAGAGAAAAAGCTCTGGTGACCTGTGGTTAGACATTCTGTCCTGTTTATGAAAGAGAGTAACACTGATTATCGAGGATTACTCAGCCCTAATCAAAGAGCTATGATTTCAGGTAGTTATTTTCACAAAATGAATTACTTACTTTACAAAATTTAAAAAAATAAATTACTCAATTTACATAAAAGTTTTCTATCTTCTGGCTTTCAGGAAAAGAAAATACTTAAGTATGCCAAAATGCGCATTAGTTAGCTGAATGAATCATTGTATAATAAAGATGCTCACCCACAAATTAATGATAAATTTAGTCTTCCATGTGTCAGGTCTGCATAAAAATCAGGTACGTGAGGGGATTTCAAAACTCTTTCAAAGTTTATTCACAATCCAACCAAAAGTTATCCTGGGATGAAAAGATTTGCAATTTCTTTAAGTCATGAAACGTCATTACTACCGTGGAGGACTGATATGCAAATTACATTAAAATACTTGAAAATGATTTCTTGGCGAATGTTCACAGCATTTCTGATATACGGGGAAACAGTTCTTCTGATTATCAGACTTACCTGAAAACCAGAATCTCTGCAAATGGAGAGAGGCAGCATCATCTCAACATAACCAAGAAGAGAGTCTGAAATCTGCGATTACAGCCTGGATTCCTTATTTCTAAGATACATGTCTGGAAACTAAGGAAATGTCTTTCTACTTTGGCCCTCTTCCCAAGATTTAGCGTAGCTGCTGTTGAAAATGTCATCAGTCTTGGATCATAAAAACTTAAATAAATTTCTCTAGTGGTCAGACACCCTGAGTCCGTGAACAAACACCCTCATACCTTTTTATTGCCATGTAAAACCAAACTTGGAAAAGCCGTACCTTCAACTGAGAATAAAGATCTCCCGTGGCAGATCAAAGCCTTTACTAGGAGTGGCTGCAGGAGAACTTTGTTTTTGCAAAACCTTTCTCACAGTGCTAGTTTTCAAGAAATTTCTGAAGAGGCTGTATGACTGACTATATTGCAGGTTCGCACTCTAGGATGGGCAATTCAGAGGGCTAAGATGTTCTCTGAAGATGAGGAGTTCCATTCTCCCGGCCTCATTGGAGCAGATTTGTCAAGGAAAAGAGATAGCAGGTGGGTTTTGAGATAAGTAAATAAGATAGTCCCACAAGTTGGAGAATCAAAACACACTCAGGAGAAGAAAAAAAACCTTTTCAATGGACATCTAAAAGCCTTACTGCAGGTCCTGCTGTTTAAAATCAAAAACTCCCCGATTAGACTTGTGAGCTCAGAGAGCTCTGGCTGAGAGAACACCCCAAGGGTCAGGTGCAGTTGGCAGAGGGCAGGTGTTACTTAGCCACCTGGGCAGGAAGGCCTGTGCGAGTTGTCAAACCTGGTTCCTGAAGAAAGCTGAAAGCTGCACAGCTGGCAGGACGTTCAAGGAAAGGAAGGAAAGAAAGTCCTGAATAGAAATGAGTTAATTGTCATGCTGCTTTATACAACCAACACGTTCTTCTAAGACAAAAGCAAACTTCGATTAGAATTTTTAAATAAAGATTAAAGTTGCAAGAGTCCAGGTACCACTGAACAGAAAAATAAAGTTGAAGAAAACCACAGCAGATTATTTCCCTTTTGAGATATATATATTCACATACATATACCACACATATAAAACATACATACTGTGTGTGTGTGTGTATATATATATATATACATATATATATATCAATACATCCTTATTTAAACATTATCAGATACCATGAAAAATAAAGAAATTCTGGTTTCATTTTTTTTTGCTCTTCTTTTAAGAAAATTGCTTTTGTGAAGAAAAGAATCTAAAGGTTCTTAATCTGTGGCCCTGCTTGGTATTTACTTTCAGATAAAGTCAAACAGTTTTAGCAAGTTGACT